TTAAAGTATAATATATGTTAAATATATCGATTAAGTATTGCTTTCCAGAATATTGAGGTAATCAAAATACAATGAACTATACTATACAATACAATTCAGATTCTGTCTTTTCATAATACAATATACAATACAATACAATACAATACAGATTCTGTCTTTTCATAATACAATATACAATACAATACAATACAGATTCTGTCTTTTCATAATACAATAAAATATACAATACAATACAGATTCTATCTTCTGATTTCCAGAAATGATGCAATACAGCGTGATGGATATCAACAACAGATATTTGACCACCCAATATGACGAGCCCCTGGACACCCTTTCATCTAGATTTGACAAGACAAGACTCACCTATAAGTTCCAATGTGAAATGTGCCAGAAAAGATTCAAAAAGTCATCGCACTATAAAGATCATGTTAGGATCCACACTGGTGAAAAACCTTTCCAGTGTGAAATTTGTCATAAATCATTTACGCAGCGATCAACACTGACCCATCACAAGAAAATACACATTTCATAATTTAAGATGTGTCTCAAAACATTAGGCACTGATCAACACTGGGGAATCACAGGAAAATACACATTTTTAAACAATCCAGCGTGGATTATACAGTAATAGCTATTGATGAAGTTGTCAGCATTTAATCAAAACATGTTAGATTAACATTGAGGAAAGTAACCATAGTAGTGACTTAATTAACAAAAAGCTTAAAATTATTACAAGCATAAGGCAACTTTGATGAGAGCACATAATTGCTTATAGATGAATAGATGTAGTTTCATTTTTTTACCGAAATGACCGTGTCAGTCTCATCTCATACATGAAAAAAACATCATGGGGGAGTGATTTTGTACAAAACCAGTTGAAATCACCTAAGAAAAAATCGATGAAACTGGCATTCTAATAAAGATATTTAGTATGGTAACAGTTGTTTTATTTTATTACACTCGGAGAAAGTGTTAGTTGTCACGCCTTGTTTTTTGTGACAGAAATTCCCTACAGAATTTCATGCTCACTACACTAATTTCCTGATTTTGAGAGAACATGTTTGAGAAACAATAAAAGGTCAGTGAGGCAAATTAGAAGGTAGCAAATTACTACAGAAGTTGATTTTGAACTGGAAGTGCAGACATGACTTCAGAATCACCTAAAACTTGGATTGACATTCTACATTTCTTAATACAGACACCATTGATTAGTGCATTATATGGTTTAGGCTGAGTGTTTGACTGAGTGGTTCACAACCTGTTATAAAGACTTTGGTGTGTACTTTTATGTCTGAGTATTGAGTGCACAGAGTTCCTCTAAGGAGGAGTTTCTGGCTCTGTCTTTCAGTGTAAAACTATATTTAAAATATGGAACACACCACCTCACCAAAATATGGCAGTAACTAAAAAACTATATAATACAGTACAATAAAATACAATACAGATTCTGTCTTTTCATAATACAATACATTCAATTACAATACAGATTCTGTCTTTTCATTTCCAGAAATGATCCACAACAAGGTGATGGACATCAACAACAAATATATGACAACTCCATATCATTACAACCCCCAGGACTTCATACCACCTGGATTTGACAATACAGCAGTTGATCCCAGTTACAAGTTCCATTGTGAAATATGCAACAAAAGATTCAAAGTTTCAACAAACTATAAAAATCATATGAGGATCCATACTGGAGAAAAGCCATTTAAATGTGAAATGTGTCTTAAAGCATTTCGCCAACCTCAGGGGTTAAGAACTCATTGTAAAAGTGTTCATAAAATAAATAGATAAGACAATTTCTAATCTGTTTATGTAGCTCTTATGGGGCCTTTATTTATCAGGGTTATATATAGGCACAAATTGAACTTTAAACTTACTTATAGGTTAGGAGTATGAGATTTAGGAGATGATTTTGGTATATTCGTTTGTCGCTTTTGTTGTTGGGTAAACCTTAGTTTGATGTAGTATGAATAAAAAGCCATCACAATTAATGTTAATTTTTTGTTGTTTTTTGAGTGAGTTCAATTTATCGAACAAATATGAGTATCATCCTCAGTGCTGATTAGAGGGGTTGCCTTCTCTCATCTGGAACTTCCCCGAACCAGACCAGTGAAGCCACTACCTCTACCTATATCCAGAATCAAATATCTCCCCTTTCTCCCCTATATTCATATTGCAGATAATGTGTTAGATTTGCTGTTTAAGCATAGTTGTTTTATTGTTGTATTTAATTGGAAACTCTCATTCTTTGGAAGTTGAGTTTACAATGTAAAAATGTACAATTTGTGGATTTTCACCTAAATGCTGTTTGCATTTTAATGCCAGATACAACACTATGAAACATCAATGCTATTCAATACTTTTATTGACTCCTAATTATGTCAGTAGACCCCTTGGTCACTCTGCAGGTTTTGTGTGTGTTTGGTACAGTTTATAATGGAAGACATATTTGAAATTGTAAACAAAACAAAATGTTGAGATTTATGAATTTTGGACGTATTCATACTTCTTCATCAGGTAAACTGATTTTCATACAATTATGACATCACAATATACAGGTATCTGTATGAAGATGTATGAATACATCAAAAATTCGTAAATCTCAACATTTTGTTTTGTTTTTAACACTTATGAAGTATTACTTGAAATTGTAAAGATACATAACTTACTTCAAGATAGGAAGTTATGGACATTGAGAAATTGAATATGTATTCAACTGCAAGTCTTAATTATTTGATCTGAAATTGCAAATTTGGTCATATTAATACAGTAATATGTTTTGTCATTTTCAGAAGTGTCCCACAATAAGATCGTGGATATTAACAATGAGTATTTACCTAGTCCATATTACAATCCACAAGACAATCAACAGATGAATCAACACTACAAGTTCCATTGTGAGATCTGCCAAAAGAGATTCAAAGTCTCAACAAACTATAAAAATCATATGAGGATCCATACTGGAGAAAAACCATTCAAATGTCATCTCTGCTTGAAGTCATTCAATCAATCTCAGACTTTGAGAAAACATTGTAAAGGAGTTCACAAGATTTCTCCCAGTACATTGAATAAGAATGCTTGAGAGAAAAACAATAAATAGCTAGTCTATGAGTTATCAATAAACACTGCATGTTGAGAAACATTATAGGTCTTTAAAATAACGACCATGGATGTTGTTTTAACCATATGATAGGAGTTAAAATACATGTGTGCAAAATATGAAAGTTCGAGGAAGTTTCAGAAGAAATAAAACAACATAATACAGTTCAAGTGTTTTCCTAAAGATTTTAATGTCTTATTTCACTCCGTGTTATTTACTGTCAATTCCAAAAAATAATCACGGTTTATAAGTGAGTTACTAAACAATTACTATTATGATATTGTCCTTGTGCTCAAGATTACCACTGTCAAGTTTTGCCTTTTGCCACATGTTGCTAATTGTCACATATTGCCTTTTGTCACATTTTGCCTATTTTCACATTTTACCTGTTTTCACATTTTGCCTATTTTCACATTTTGCCTGTTTTCACCTGTTGAATTTGATGCCGAGAGGTTCTTTGGTCTTTATGTCACCACCACAAGTGACAAATGTTTTCATGTCACCACCACAAGTGACATATTGTTATAATCTCCAACTTTTATGTGTTTGGTGCTTGGTGTACAGCAGTCAGCTTCTGTAACACATAGCAGGTTGTGATATTCTGCATGTTTTAAAATACCTTGTTTGGAGTTGTCACAGTTCAAACAATTAATCTTATGTTTTAAAGCCTCTAATAATTCATGATGGAGGGTAGGGGCAAGTGTATCTCATTTGTAGCCCCCCCCCCCTCGTAGCCCCTCCCCCCCCCCCGTCTTTTTGAATTTTGATCTGTTATACATATGTATCTTTTCAGTTTATTTTTTTCAGTTGATCATGGAAGGAGTAGAGCTAAAAGAAAACACACTAAAGGGAGACAATCTTTTGAGTCATATGGTGATGATGATGCTGACTACCCTTGTAAAATATGTGGTGAGGTTTTCATCCGTGAAAACAAACTGAATATGCATATTATCAAAATGCACCAAGGACAAACGCCATATATGTGTAAACACTGCTCTAAATGTTTTAATAGGAAATACAACATGGCACGCCATGAGAGGATACATACCAGAGATCCTTTTAAATGTGAACAGTGCCCAAAAACATTCAATGAAAAGGGCAATCTAACTAAACATATGGTATTTCATAGAACTGATGACGGAGTGTTTCAGTGTGCAGAATGTCCAAAACAGTTCAAAGATTTGCATCATTTGAATGCCCATATGCTAGTCCATACTGGCGAGAAACCACACAAATGTGAACATTGCCCAAAGGCATTTGCACTATTGGGCAATTATAATGTACATATGAAAACACACAATGAGATGGTAGTTATGAACAAGTAGTATGTCATCTCTTCTTAAAGTTATTCAATCAATCTCAGACATTGAAAAAATATTCTAAAGGACTACATAAGATTTCCTCTAATACATGTACATTGAATGAGTATGGTGCAGGGAGAGAAAAACAATAAATACGCAGTTCGAGTTATTAAGAAACACTGCATATTAAGAAACATTATAGAATTATATTTACCATGGCTGTTATAACCATAGAAGTTGCAATACATTTCGTCAAAAGGTTTCATGAATTTTCATTAAAAGGTATCTGTTCTCATTGAACAGCTTGTTACATCACATAATCAGAAATAACACAACATAATACAGTCCATCTGTTCCAAATACATTTTTGATGTATTTTTCACTCTCACTATCTATCTTATCACTATAATAAATGATTACTATTTAATAAATAAATAATAACTGTTCACTGTTATAATTGTGATTCTCATAATTGCTTAAAATAAGCCACTGTCAAGTTTTGCCTACACATGTTGGAAGACACTTTGATGCAGAGAAAGGCTCTCTTTATTTTTCATGTTTTTTCACATCGTATATTTGTTATAGGGCTTCTAATCACTTTCAATCCTTTTATTTAGACTGGCATGTGAAGTATTTTGAGTTTTGATCTATTATACATCATTGCAGTTCTTGATTATTCCATTCTGTTTTCAGTTGAGCAAGGAATGCCCCACACTAAGAGGAACAGAGTCGAAAGGAAGCACACTAAAGGGAGACAAATGATTGAGTCATACGGCGATGATGATGTTGAATACCCTTGTAAAATATGTGGTGATGTTTTCAGACGTGAAAACAAACTGAATATTCATCTTATCAAAATGCACCCGGGACAAAAGCCATATGTGTGTAAACACTGCTCTAAATGTTTTAATAGGAAATACGAAATGAAAGTACATATCAAATTACATACAAAGATTGGGTTACTTAGGTGCTCAGTATGTAATAAAACTTTCTGTGAAAAAAAAGGTTTGACAAGGCATATGAGGATTCATACTGGAGAACGTTCTTTTAAATGTGAACAGTGTCCCAAAACATTTATTGAAAAGGGCCATCTTACTAAACATATGGTAACTCATAGACCTGATAGGAAGTTGCAGTGTGCTAAAGCTGAAAGGAAGTTTCAGTGTGAAGAATGTTCAAAACGGTTCAAACTTTTGCATCATTTGAAATCCCATATGCTAGTCCATACTGGCGAGAAACTGTATAAATGTGAACTTTGCCCAAAGGCATTTGCACAATTGGGTAATTATAATTCACATGTGAAAACACATTCTGATATCCGCCCATTTCAATGTGAATATTGCTCTAAAGAATTTCGAACACAAAGAGATATGATTGTTCATATTAGAATCCATACTGGGGAGAAGCCACATAAATGTGAAGTATGTTCAAAGGTCTTTGCCAGTAGGGGTTCATTAGGGTCACATAGGATTATTCATGTTGAAGAGAAGAATTACATGTGTGATTATTGCTCTGAAAAATTTGTAGGAATAAAACATCTGAATAGACATATAAGGTCAGCTCATACACTGGAGAGGCCTTTTCAATGTGAAGTCTGTGAACAAAGCTTTGGGTGGAAAGGTGGACTAACAAGGCATTTAATGACTCACACTGGAGAGAAACCATTTAAATGTCAATTTTGCTTGATAAAATTCACAAGAAACTCTTCACTACAAAACCACTTAAAGAAATTCCATGGGGATGAGGATATCCACAAAGAAATATTAGCCACCTCTCAAACATAAAAGCAATTAACTAAATAGATTGTTTAAAATAATTGGATTTTATGTTTGTAGGGTAACAGAATATTAAAATGTGCATGTGTTTCTCTCTCTTTTTGAGAAGGAGCATTTTATATATACCAGAGTACAGTTGTGAAACATCCTTATGGACTACATAAGTGGTACATATTGAAACAAACACTTTTACGAAGAATATAGAACTTAGAGTTTAGCTTTTAACATTTGTTGTTGCAATTATATTTGAATTAACATTAAGAAAGGCAAAAGAATATAAATATGAAGTTAGTAAATTTTAAATAAATATATATTACTTACATGTATAATATGGTTCTACTTTATTTTATTGATTCTGTTTATTTTCATTTGTACAGTTTAGGCCAAAAATGATAGCTTCATGAAAAAGTTCATACAAGGGTTTTACTAGAATTTCTCACAACAGGCTAAATAAATGAAAACAACAAGCAGAATTAATGGAAATCATAAATTTAAAATGGAAAAGTTGAAATCTACAAAACAACAGGCTATTTTTGTGAAAACAACCAGTGAAAATCGTCTGTTGCATAGTGCTAATGAAACTCCTGAGTGATATATGATTCAATTATCCCTTAACCCTGAACAGTTGAAAACAAAATATATATTTGTATGTCTCTGAAGCTGTAAAATTGTTATATTACTTGTTCAATGGTGATGTTTTGATATATCGAATACTATTTAATATTAGAGTGGCAATAGTTGGTAGCTCTTTGTAATTTTGATTCGATATAAACATAGTCAATATCATTTGGTTAAGTTCTATACATTTCCTCATTTGTTTATCCAAGTACAGAGCTTATTCAAATCATTACATGTACATTGATTAATGCCACTAAAAACTTATCAGATAAAATTCTCTCGATATTTTTCAGTGAAACAGGTTCGTAGATCCAACAGAAGCAAGAAAGCTATACCAACACGTTACATAGATGCAGGGGATTCTGATGAGGAGACAGAAGTTGAAGCAGACAATGGAGGAGCAGAACTTGAGGAACAAACCAATGATGGGGATGAGCATTTAAAATACATGGCTATGGTGAAACGATTGAAAAATCCAAAGGAGCAGAAGGAATTAATATGTGAATATTGTGAAAAGCAATTTCATCATGAGTGCTTGTTGGTAATCCATTTACGTACACATACTGGAGAAAAACCATTTAAATGTGCTCTGTGTCCGAAAAGTTTTGCTCAGAATTATTACTTAACAAAGCACCAACAACAAGTCCATCTAGGAAAAAAACCATTCAAGTGTGTAGATTGCCCAAAAGCCTTTGTGAGGTCCCATCAATTGGTACAACATTCTATGATTCATACTGGCGAGAAACCGTTTATTTGTGATCAATGTCCCAAATCATTTAGGTCAAAGAGCACCTTGAAAGTGCATTTATTATCAACTCATTCAAATGTAAAGGAGCATATGTGTGATTTCTGTGACAAGCAGTTCAGCTTGCGTTCATCTTTAACAAAACATTTGAAGATCCATACTAGAGAAAAAAAACTCCAACCTACTCAAATCATTGAGACAAAGGATTCTGGCGATGAGACAGACATTGCTGTAGCTAATATTGAAGCAGACAATTTAGAAGCAGAATTAGAACTTGATGGAGAACAAACTATTGATGGAGATGAGCATTCAAAATACACAGCAATGGTGAATCGATTAAAAAACCAAAAAAGGAAAAAAGAGTTCATATGTGATTATTGTCCAAAGCAATTTAATCGAGAGCGCTTGTTGGTAGTCCATTTACGCACACATACTGGAGAAAGACCATTTAAATGTACTTTGTGCCCCAAAAGTTTTGCCCAGAATTATTACTTAACAAAGCACCAACAACAAGTCCATCTAGGAGAAAGGCCTTTTAAATGTGCACATTGCCCAAAGGCCTTTGTGAGGTCACATCAATTGGTACAACATTCTCTGATTCATACTGGCGAGAAACCAATCAAATGCAATCAATGCCCCAAATCCTTTAGGTCCAAGAGCATATTGAAAGTGCATTTAAAATCAACACATTCAAATATGAAGGAGTATATGTGTGATTTCTGTGACAGACGGTTCAACTTGCCACAAACTTTAGAAAGACATTTGAAGATCCATACTGGAGATAAAAACCACCAGTGTGTACATTGTGGAAAAATGTTCACATTAGATAACAATTTGAAAAAACATTTGAAGGCAAATCACACAAATGTAGACAATAAGTAAACTTGAACAATATACATGTCGTGTGAAATTGGCTTCTGTACTGTAAATATTAAATGAAACTCATTTTTTTGCTAAAACTTCGATTTAAGTAGTGACGCTTTAAATACCTCTATAAAGTGTTCTACTTGGGAGGTGAATTGTGTTCCACTAACAGACTTGTTCCACTACTAGAGGTATTCTAGTTTACAAATATTAAAAAAATCTATGTAATTATTGTAATTCTTTTCTATGTGAGAAGGTGAAAAGGTAAAAATGTATTGAATCAACATTTGAGTGCAATTTACAATAGGGTGTCACAATATCTTTCCTTGTATACGTTAATTTTATTCTGGATTTCGCATTTCGCCTATTTTCTTAATATTTGCTATTTTTGATTCGGCAGAACAGAATTTTTGATTCTGATTAAAGTAGGTTACATATCTTCCGAAAAAACATATCTCCAATTGAAAATAATTTAAGGCCCTCTTCAAGAAACATTGGTACTGCACTCTATGTTTTAAGAAAATCTATACATTTGCGAAAAAAAGTCCAGAAAACAGAATTATCACTATGATACAGAAACGGAACTGGGTTAAAATGTCATAGAGATTCTTCCTACTTCTTGTGAAATAAGGAAAAAAGAAAAATCGTAACTTCGAGGTTCATTCATTGATCTGTGTCTGCAACAAATGGTAGGTGGTGACATTTTGCATGCTAATATCTTGTTCATTTTTGTTTTCAGATCCAATTTATCATGTGAAGCTGGCCAATGGGGAGCAAATTCTAGTTACTCAAAACAGTAAATCATTCAAGAAAAATGTGGAGAGGAAATATGAATGTAACATTTGTCTGAAATCATTCAAAAAATCATCTCATCTTAATTATCACCGAAGGATGCATACTGGAGAGAGACCATACAGCTGTGATATTTGCTCTAAAAGATTTTCACGGAAACATCATCGGGATAGACACTACAAAACCCATAGAATGAGCAAGAAACAAAATTAGGCTTGATGATTGATGGTAAATCTGAATTATTAGATTTAGTGAAGGGAGAAAGAAATACCATTATGTGACACCTTGTACTCCTTTGGGGGGACGGGGGTATGAAGACTTGTATCTGTATTATAATAATCTAAATAACAAAGAACCTAACTTGCTTTATTTACAAGGTCTGATCTATAGACTGTTCGCAAATATAACATCAATCAGCAAACCTTTGAATTGGCACGTACAGTTGGGAATATTTGAAAAAAACTTTGAATAGCTTTCAAAGTTAGAAAATTGAACAGCATACTGAATTCAATTAGAAAAATTGAAAAATTCACATAGGAACATTGATAAATTCAATTTCTAGAAAGATCGAAAAATTCAATGAGAAAGATTGAGAGCACATGAAAAATTCAATAAGAAAGATAGAGAGCACAATTATTATACAAGAAATATTGTATATCACATTCATATATTTTATCTCAACAATTTACTTCTTTTTGCTTATATATGTTGTTTAGTTTTATGGTTTTTACAGTATAAGGACTGATATGAACAGCAGATTTAATGAAATACATTCTTGTTCACATCTGAAACAGGCTTGTGATTTTTATATTGTTTCAAGCTAGTTATATCTTGATATCATGTAATTTATTTATGTGGCATGTGTGATAGTGAAACTGGCACACATATTCCACGAATAATCTGCATTTTATTTGTGCAGATATTGATTCAGTGATAAAAGCCGAGCTAACCAACACATATCATGTGATTATCAAATCATTGATAATTATTAAATCAACTTTATTACAAGAACCTTTTGTGTTGTTTGTTTGTTTGTTTGTTTGTTTCTGACTCTCCCTAATGGTAAAAATGAAGATGACACCCATTACCCATATGTAATTCAAGGTGTTTTTTATAATTATAATACTTTTCAAATATACTTTTTATTATTTATTTTCAGATAATCAATCAAATTGGACGCTGCCTCAGACTCAGGATTCTCAAGAAAATTTGAAAAAATCATTTAAAAAAAGTGCAGAAAGGCCATTTGAATGTAATATTTGCCTGAAATCATTCAAAAAACCCAGTCACCTTAGCGGCCATAGAATGATCCATACTGGAGAGAAACCATTCAATTGTGATTATTGTCCCAGATCCTTTAGGACAAAAAACAATGTGAAAGTGCATATTATATCAGTACATCAAAATACAAAGGAGCATGTATGTGATTTTTGCAACAAAAAGTTTAACCTCCCACAGGCTTTAGAGAGACATTTGGAGAAACATATTAAAGAGAAAGATAACGAGTTCCATACTGGAGACAAAAACCACGAGTGTGAGGAATGTGGGGAAAGTTTTGCATTTAGTCACCAGCTGAAACAACATTTGAAAGTAGTGCACGGCTGTGTGCGTTTTGAATGTAATATTTGTCAGAAATTATTCAAAAAGTCTTGTCACCTCAAGGATCATAAAATGATACACACTGGAGAAAAACCATTTAATTGTGATCAATGTCCCAGGTCGTTTAGGGCAAAGAACACATTGAAAGTGCACTTAATATCAGCACATTCAAATATAAAGGAACATATTTGTGAATTCTGCTATAAACAATTCAGTCTTGCACAGTCTTTGGAAAGACATTTAAAGGTTCATAATAAAGAGAAGAACCTAAAGTGTGGACAATGTGGGAAAATGTTTACTTTAAATCACCAGCTGAAAAAACATTTGAAAGCACATGAAAATGTTAACTATGAGAATGAAACATTGATGTAAGAAACATTCCACTCTGATGTCCCCATTAAAACATTGACAATGGAGATCATTTAAACTTAAAAGTGTATATAAAGATTCATATATTATGTTAGATTCCCTGTGTATTAACATTCCATTTCTTCTCAGTCTTAAAATACCATGATAATATAAGATTCACTGTATAAAAACTTTCATTTCTTCTCAGTCTTGAAATATGATAATATATATTATGTTACATTCACTGTATATAAACATTCATTTCTTCTCAGTCTTGAAATACCATGATAATATATATTATGTTAGATTCCCTGTATATAAACATTCATTTCTTCTCAGTCTTGAAATATGATAATATATATTATGTTACATTCACTGTATATAAACATTCATTTCTTCTCAGTCTTGAAATACCATGATAATATATATTATGTTAGATTCCCTGTATATAAACATTCATTTCTTCTCAGTCTTGAAATATGATAATATATATTATGTTACATTCACTGTATATAAACATTCATTTCTTCTCAGTCTTGAAATATCATGATAATATATATTATGTTAGATTCCCTGTATATAAACATTCATTTCTTCTCAGTCTTGAAATACCATTACCATACAATTAGAAAAATGTTTATAAGAAATACAAATGTTATGTTGTCTGAAATCATTGAAGATGTGCGTAATGTAATAATAGTACATATAAAATTATATTTATTACATTTGAGTATGACCAAGCCAGAAGAACCTGTTTTGTTATTCTATTTATATTTAATAATTCTGGGGTTTCAATACGGTAGATTACAAGCATGTAGTTCACAGAATCATCATTTAGATATTATATGTAAAATCTCCCAAATTTACTGGTTGTTTTTGACATTTTGTCTGTTTTGTAAGAAATTCTTTTAATTGAAATTATATTAAAATCTATCATGCTGGTATGTTGGCCCAGTTATAGCAGTGTTGTTAACAAGATGTTGCTACATGAATCAGTAATAAGTCAGTCACAAAAAGTTGAGAATCCATTTTATTGTGTTTCATGCATCTGTTATATTTTCAAATATTTCAAATATTTATTTTTATTTCCAGTTAACACATTCAATTGGATTCCAACTGGTGGTGGAAAAATTCAGTTTAAAAACAAATCATCCCCATTTGACATGGATGCAGCAAGGAAACACAAATGTAACATTTGTCTAAAATCATTCAAAAAGCCACAACACTTGGAATACCATAGAGGGATCCATACTGGAGAGAAGTCATTCATCTGCCCTATTTGCTTTAAGACATTCCGATTGAAACATAACTTAGATAGACACAAAAGATCAGTTCATAAGACAGTTGACTAGTCATTTTTTGACCAAGGAACTATTCTAAGGCAGTTGACAAGGGAACTTATTATAGACAGGTCAATATTTAAGATGACAGAAAATAGAAAAAAATACCTAAAGTTTGAACCAATGTTTACAAAAAAACTTAGTTTGTTCACTTTACAATTCCAAAAATGTCTTAAAATGAGATACATGTATCTGATTAAATAAGGAAATGAATGAATATAAAGGATACAGAAACTTCCAATAGGCCAAAAAGCCAATAAAATCGAGTGAATCTGGCTCACACACAGCACATATAATCTGCATACATAAGCAGATTATGATTCAATGCTTGCAAAATCCAATCTAACCTATACATATCATATGAGTTCATGATTTAATTTTCATCAATTTATTAGAATTTTTATTATCGTTTGCAATAACACGTTTATGTTGTTTGATTCTTACTGGCCCATCCCAATGGAAAAAATGAACATTACTCCCTTGTCCCATATTAAATTCAAGGTGTTATTTTATAACACATTTTCAAATACACTTTTTGTTTTCAGTTGATGGATCAAATCAGACGTTTCCTCAGACAAAGAATTCTCAAGAAGATATGCTGAAATCATTTAAGAAAAGTGCAGAAAGGCGTTTTCAATGTAACATTTGCCTGAGATCTTTCAAAAAGTCCTGTCATCTTGGTGATCATAGAATGATTCACACTGGCGAGAAACCATATAATTGTGGTCATTGTCCCAAATCATTTAGGACAAAGAGCAATTTGAAAAAGCATTTGATATCAACACATTCAAATACAAAGGATCATTAGTGTCATTACTGCCACAAACAGTTTAATTTGCCACGATCTTTGTAGAGACATTTGAAGATCCATAATAGAGAGAAAAACACCAGTCTGGACAAACTAAGTGACCATCTGAAAAAAGTACATAGCAGTGAGCATTTTGAATGTAATATTTGGTTGAAATCATTCAGAAACCCCAGTTACCTTGAAGAACAGAATGATCCATGCTGGTGAGAAACTGTTCCATAAGACAGTTGTCGAATTGGCCGAGAGGGCTCGAGCACCGGCACATTCAGGCTAGGCGATTGGGCGGCGTAACCACGAGGTTGCGAATTCGAGACGCGTGTGCTCGTGTTTATTTCATTTATTATAGATATACTTATTTTTATATTATAGTAGTTTCATAGTATTATCATTTTATAATGTAGATTTTAGCTATACCCATGTATATTGTATTTGTGGAGACAAAATAAAAAATAAATAAAGTTTGAAGCAATGTTTACAAAAAGCATGGTTTGTTCACTCCATAATTTCAAATTCAATGTCTGAAAATGATTATTACTCCCTTCTCCCATATATAAATTTAGGTGTTATTTTTAACAATTTTCAAGTATACTTTTTTTTTGTTTTCAGTTGATGGTTCATATTGGCTGCTTCCTCAGACTAAGAATTCTCATGAAGATTTGCTGAAATCATTTAAGAAAAGTGCAGAAAGGCCTTTTGAATGTAACGTTTGCCTGAAATCATTCAAAGTCTCCAGTCACCTTGCAGAACATAGAATGATCCATACTGGGGAGAGACCATATCATTGTGCTCAATGTCCCAAATCATGCAGGTCAAAAAGCAACTTGAAAAAGCATGTATTAGCAGTGCATTCAAATATAAAGGATCATATGTGTGATTTTTGCCACAAACAGTTCAGTTCGCCACAAGATTTAGAGAGACACTCAAAGATTCATACTGGAGAGAAAAACCATCTGTGTGGACAATGTGGGGAAACATTTGCATTGAATCACCAGCTGAAAAATCATTTGAAAATAGTGCATAGCAGTGCGCGTTTTGAATGTAATGTTTGCCCGAAATCATTCAAAAGCTCCAGTCACCTTGCAGAACATAGAATGATCCATACTGGCGAGAGACCATATCATTGTGCTCATTGTCCCAAATCATGTAGGTCAAAAAGCAACTTGAAAAAGCATGTATTATCAGTCCATTCAAATATAAAGGATCAATAGTGTGATTACTGCCCCAAACAGTTCAGTTTGCCTCAATATTCAGGGAGACATTTGAAGATCCATACTAGAGAGAATACCACCAGTGTGGACAATGCAGGGAAATATTTGCATTAAATCACCAGCTAAAAAACATTTGAAAATTGTGCATTCAAATATAAAGGATCATATGTGTGATTATTGCCACAAACAGTTCAGTTTGCCACAACATTTAGAGACACTCATTGATTCATACTGGAGAGCAAAACCATCCATTTGGATAATGTGGGGAAACGTTTGCATTGAATCACCAGCTGAAAAATCATTCAAAAATAGTGCATAGCAGTTTGTGTTTTGAATGTATTGTTGGCCTGAAATCATTCAAAAACTCCAGTCACCTTGCAGAACATAGAATGATCCATCCTGGTGAGAGACCATATCATTGTGCTCAATGTCCCAAATCATGAAGGTCTTAAAGATTATCAATGCATTCAAATATAAACGATCAATAGTGTGATAACTGCCACAAACGGTTCAATTTGCCACAATATATGAGAGACATGCGATGATCCATACTGGAGAAAAAACCACCAGGCAATGTGGGTAGACTGTAAATCTAGTAAATCTAAATCTAGTAAATCTAGTAAAATCTAGTAAAATCTTGTAAACTTTTTAGGGACCATTCATTTGATGTCAATGTCAGTCTCTATGAAGAGTACTGGTGATTATGATTCCTTTTACAGCATTAGAAAAATACCTTCTCTGCATTAAAATTCAGAGTCATTCCTTTCACCAAATAATCAGTAAACAATTTTTTTAACAAAATTGTGAAATATTATAATAAAAAAGAATGTTTAAGGGGCTGATATGATATGGCTTTTAACTATTAATTACAAGGAATACAAGGAACATATCATCATCAAAACGTAAATGGAAAGCATTATAGAAATGTCATACTATACTTTATGTATAGGTAAAGCAAATAGATCAATCAGTAAGTTGTCTCACTCTTCCCCTTACTACAGCATTTGATTGTTTTTATTATTTTGGGGGGTTGGCAAAAATCAATTTTGAAATTGCCATTTATCCATTCCTCTAACATTGGAACTTCTACAAATATTGTCAATTGAACAGCATCGCCAAAAAATAAGCAATAACTAAATTATCTGATAGACTAAGCATTATAACATTTTGTGAGGGAAAAACAAGCCTGTGTCATTTAGATGGTACGCATTGTCCCCCCAGTCCTTAAATGTGTGGCTTAATTTGTTAATAGAGCATGCTTCTTGGGTGGGTTGTGTATGATGATAAAATGGGTGTACCATTTGATAACCATTTTGTTATCCAGTACTAACATATAGTTGTTTTGTAACTAAATATAATGAAATAAAAGGTAGAATTTTTTCTACATGTTCATTTCATTCATACAAAGGCATTTTCGGTGCTTTTTCGACATTTGCACTTATATCCTAGACATTGAATATTCAAGTTTTTACAAGATTTTACTAGTTTTACTAGATTTACTAGATTTACAGTCTACCGGCAATGTGCGTTTTGAATGTAATATTTGCCTGGAATCAATCAAAAATTCCAGTCACCTTGCAGAACATAGAATGCTCCATACTGCAAAAAGCAACTTGAAAATCATTTATTATCAATGCAATCAAATATGTGTAATTATTGCCACAAACGGTTCAGTTTACCACAATATATAGAGACATTCGAAGATCCATACTAGAGAGAAAACCACCAGTGTAGACAATGCGGGGAAATGATTGCATTGAAACTACATCTGAAACAACATCTGAAGGCAATACATGGCAATGTGTCTCATTAGAAACTCTGATTAACATTGAGGGGGATTTTACTCCATTCTCCATATCATTGAAGATCATTAAAAATATTATCTCTATTTGGCAGAAAAGTTGAAGAATTCCATATCCAGAGCCTCCATATCTCCTGCCATATCTCCCGCTCCTTGGCATGTCTTCCCACTTCAGGTAATTGAAAATAAAAAATGAAAACAATTTTGAATGAAAAATGTTTTGAAAAAAGAGAAAAAAATTTGAAACAATAAATTTAAAAAAATGTCGAACTCTACTGAGAATAGGAAAAAGCAATTATGTGCAGTCGGTTTGGTTTGGTTTGGTTTATCCATTTGGAGATACACATAGTTTTTGCTTCAAATCAGTTTATAGTGAAACTGTACAACTAAAGTATATGACGGTATATTTTGGCACTGAACATAACATTGTCCATGGTTAGGCGTGTCTCAGCTCACATAAAAATATTATCCAATCTATCTACTTCATTTTAAATGTGGTAACACCGATTGCATTTACCTAATAAATACAAATGAAAGCATCAAAGAAAAAAATGTTGATAGGCCATCTACATGAAACATTGTCAAGATGTGTAATAATATAATAAGAGATAATTCACACTTATATAATGTGCAAGCAAAAAATACTTTTTATGTTAGTTGTTCCACAAAAATGGGAAATTCTGTAATTTATGAGTTTCCATATTAGAATTGTACATGTTAAATATTTAAATGATCTTGCAAGTGAGGGATATCAGAATTTCCTGTAATGAAATTGGAGAAAATTATGGTTCAATTATAATGGGCTGTTATCCCAGTTGTCAGTTCACCAAAAAATGCTGTTAATCCATTTTACTATATTTTATGCATTTGTAACATTTTCAAATATATTTTCTATTTCCAGTTAACACTTTCAATTGGATTCCAACTGGTGGTGGAAATATTCAGTTTAAAAACAAATCATCCCCATTTGACCAGGATGCAGCAAGAAAACACAAATGTAACATTTGTCTGAAATCATTCAAAAAGCCACACCACTTAGAATATCATCGAGGGATCCATACTGGAGAGAAGTCATTCATCTGCCCTATTTGCTTTAAGACATTCCGATTGAAACATAACTTAGATAGACACAAACGATCAGTTCATAAGCCAGTTGACTAGTCATTTATTGACCAAGGAACTATTCTAAGGCAGTTGACAAGGGAACTTATTATAGACAGGTCAATATTTAAGATGACAGAAAATAGAAAAAAATACCTAAAGTTTGAACCAATGTTTACAAAAAAACTTAGTTTGTTCACTTTACAATTCCAAAAATGTCTTAAAATGAGATACATGCAAAACAATTAAAAAGAAGTTTTAGCAACCTTTAGAAAGAAGTGTAGTTTTCTTCACTTTACAACCTATTTGTGAAAAAGTAGAGATATCAGATAAAAGATATTGAAGATATCTGATCAAATATCAAAGTTAATGAAGATATCTAAGTTTAAGGTTATTCCAATTTTATAACATGTCACATACAATCAAATACAATAATTGAAAAAGGATTTAAAACATTTTACAATTGTATTGAAGTTATTTAAGATATCTGATCCTATATCAAAGTTATTGAGTGTATCCCTTTTCACAATTATTGTCAAATAAGCTTTAAAATGAAATAATGAGAGTATAAAGTTGGAATTTTGATGAAGGAAGTAAGAATTAAGCAAAGAAAGAAAGAGAAGAAGAAATACAAGTGTAACAATTGCCTCAATCATTCTAAAAATCATTTAATCTTAATTCACGCCTTCTATAAACTGTGAAAAAAGTCAATGTTTCACCCGGGGCATATTCAAGATCAATGCCCTGACTCTGAACTAAGTGTTTCTTTCAGTGCAAAACCTCAACCGGAAGTGGAAATGAACATCGAAATTGACGATTTTGCAATATTCTGGTGAGGTTTTATGTTTGAATCGTAATATAGACCTCAGAGCAGGGCTACTATTTTCGAATACACCCCTTAGGGCTAGGCACAAAAACGTTGAAACACCTCATTCCCTTCGGTCGTTCGGCGTACAGAAAACGTTTGTGCCAAGCCCTGCGGGGTGTATTCGAAAATAGTAACCCTGCTCTTCGGTCTATATTTTTCTTAATTATCAATCGATGCATACTGGAGAAAGGCCCCACAGTTTTGATATACTGTAAAACGGGTATTGTTAGCGAGGGGTAATTGTTAGCGAGCGCTATAGTTTCGCTAAAAATTCAATTCGCTAAAATAAACCGGGGTTAAAATAAATCGGTCGCTAAAATTTTCAAATTCCCGGGAAACTACATGAATACTAGTATTTAAGGAGCTTTTCGTTCAGTGCTCGACTTCCGGTTTGTAATTTGAAAAAGGTAAATATTTTTAAATCGTATGTTTCTTTCAATATCTGAAGGATAAATAGCCATCCATCAGTGAAATAGTATTAGTAGTAAATATAAAGATAAAAGGTGTTAATTGAACACGGTTCAACAACCAATGATATTGCTTGATAAAATTTCTAATGCATTTCGTTAATTTGATTTTTTAAAGATTAATCTTCATTTCGCTAAAATTTCCCGCGCTAAAACCCCCTAAAATTGAAAAATCGCTAAAATTTCCCTGTGTCAAAATTACCCGTTTTACAGTATCACTGTCATATTCCCCACTCTCTGATTGATCCATGTCTTACACTCAACTACTAAAAAATAACAAGTGATATTCAACAGAAGTCATGTGACTTCCGAAGAATATCAAATGATACTCACCAGTCCAACTCTGTGCATTGTAATTTTGATTTTTATATATCTGGGAGTACATTGTTATGATTAATTAGACATCAATAGTGAATAATAAAATACTTAATTCTATTTTCAGTCAATACCTGTGACACTTTCACTAGATGATATTCCACTAGCCCTTGGGGCTTCATAAAATATCACTTGTGAAAGATACACAGGTATTCACTGAAAATTAATAATTATTTGTATAATATTTGGTAATAATAGAAAGGCTGAATATCAAACTTGAAAAAATGACACTTATCAGTTAGAAGTGATATTGTAGTTAAGTCAGAGAGCAGTACTATTCATACATTGATATCTTTGTCTTATTGATGAATTGTATTTTACAACAATTGACTTGTATTTCTGATTTTTGCTGCAGTTAGATAGAATAGTTGTAGTTTAGTTTTGTATATTGCATACTGTAATGACTAATATGTACTGTGGTTGTTTGTAAGATATCATAGAGTAAATAAAATACATCATTGTTGACATCAACAACAGAGTTTATTGATATTGTTTAATGTATGCATGTGACATTTAAAATAGTGCAATATGTTTTAGTGAAACCTGCCTTCCGGCACACTCCACATATAATCTAATCTTTTGCCTTTTGTGCTGTTTGTTGTTTCCTGGCCCACCATGTGGTCAAAGATGAATATAACTCCCCCAAATCCCCATAGTTTATTTAAGATATTATCTAACACGCTTTCTATTTGCTAGGGAATGGGTGGAAGGCATGACTGGGAGGGAGGGGGCATGTATAGCCCATTATTGGTAGCTGGATATACCAATGGTGATTTTAGTGTTGTTACAATAACAATTTTCAAATATATTTTATATTTTCAGATAATCAATCAAATTGGATGCTACCTCAGACCCAGGATTTTGAAGAAGATTCAGTGAAATTATATAAGAAAAGTGCAAAAAGGCCTTTTGAATGTGACATATGCCTGAGATCATTCAAAAAGTCCCATCACCTTGCAGATCATAAAATGATTCACACTGGAGAAAAACCATATGGATGTGAAATCTGCAAAAAGACATTTAGACAAAGACACCACCTGTATAGACACAAAGTACTCATTCACAAGATTGGGAAACTTTAGTCGCCTGGCCATGAAACCATATGGATGTGAAATCTGCAAAAAGACATTTAGATCACCTACATAGACACAAAGTGCTCATTCATAAGATCGGCAAACTTTAAATCTGCTTACTGTCGACAAATGCCAATCAAAGACAACATAGAGGAACTGTACATGCCAGCATAAGGGGGATATACGCTTCAAATTATTTTTATCCAAGATGTGAGGATTAATATTGAGAGAATTGCATTAATATTAATAATAAATCGATGATGAATGGATTTATTGAAGTGAGGAATCACTAGAATTCTGAGTGATTCAGAGCCATGATTAGTTCTCAAATGAATTAAACTCAATCGCTTATACAAACTAGAATTAATCCTCTACTCTGCCTCCATTTACAGAAAAAATTGAACATGATACATTTATATGTGCTTAACAGCTTAATGCAGTACCAGAACCTAAATCTTCCTCTATAAATAAAATCAAAGTGGTTTCTGAGGATGATGTGGGTGCGGCAATGGTTGGAATTAGGATATGCGTGTACAAACAGATTTTTAAACAATGTCTAAATGAAACATAGCACCATTTTTTAATGATTTTACTGAATTAATATGTCTTATTGCTTTTAGTGATACAAATGTTTACCTTCCCTTAATGTAAATATTGATGTACTGAGTGCCACTGCTTTGAAAATGATTGTCAAGTAAAAGATATATAAAAGAATAAATACAAGTTGAGGGTGACTTTCAAATAAATTGTCACAATCTTCTTCATAATTCTTTGTAATTGTTTTTTAAGGCGGGGGGGGGGGGGTGTAACCTTTACAATATGTTCAAAACTTACTTTGATTCTCTTGAAAGGAATACAGGTACAGAAAACTTCACAAAATATTAGTTCAATTGGCAAGCCTCAGAATTGTTTTCTGCTCTTTTGTTGTTAACTGTCAATTAGCCTGATGGATACTTGTATACCTTTTATTATCCCAAATGAACGAAGTTCAATAGGGAGATAGTTAAGCCTTTCATCCATCAGTCAGTCCATACAATGAGTAAATGATAAATATTATACTTGACATGTACAGATTCATATGAATATTTTGTTAGTTGAGATTTGCTGCTTTGGTGGAGTTCCAGATTTCTAGTTGACTGTCTGATATGTCATTACAATGACTCCCTTCCATATAGTTAAGGATATTATCCAAGGTGTTATTATCTACAGTATTACAACAGTTTCAAATCCACTTTTTTGTTTTCAGTTGGCAGATCAAATTTGATGCTGCAAGGGAGCCAAGATCCTCCAGTTTTGAAACAGTTGAAGAAAAGCGCAGAGAGACCTTTTGAATGTAATGTTTGCCTGAAAACATTCCAGAAGTCCCGATACCTTAGTGATCATAGCATGATCCATACTGGAGAGAAACCCCATGGATGTGAAATCTGCAAAAAGACATTTAGACTTAAACATCATCTGAATAGACACAAAGTACTCGTTCATCATAACATTGGAAAACTATAACTCTGCTGACTGCCAATTGAAAAATGGACTATTATTGTTATCGGTGACATCATAGAGAAATTGTATGGCCAAGATAATTTTTATAAAGGATTGTTAGCATGTTTGATCTGCAATGAAGAATCCTGTATTATTCTATTTCTTTATTGCATTTTAAAGCATTTATTTATGTACCTACCCATCCTGAATATGTACTCTGGCTCCACGCTGATGCATCATATATGTGGGTTAGTACATGTACTCATGCTTTTGAATTTCCAATGATGAATGATTCAGGGTTCTTTATACCTTTATAATGAGTTATTGGTAAATGCATTCATTGAAGTAAGAAATAAATATACCTGCTTTGAAATCACAATTTGTTCTTAAATGACCACTGAAATACCATTGAAGGCATTGCATCTTGTCTAGCATTTTACTCAAGTGCCAAAAAGAATTCGAAGAGATAGGGAAAAGCTGAGAGTCAGTTTCAAATAACTTGTCATAATTTTCTTTGTAACCCTTTTTGATTCTCATAAGTAGATACAGTGATCTCTAACAGTAAAGCCTGATGTTTTAACAAGTACAGAAATCTGTTAACAAACATGAGATCAACTGGCAAACCTCAGAATCCTTTTGAGCTTGCACACAGGGGTTATACGCTCCTGTGTTTGTTTATTGTTTACTGCCCACTAATCTAATGGTCAAAACGAATATGCCTATATGTATCTTATTCCTCTGATTGAAATTTGGTAGAGATAAAGTTAAGTCATCCGTCCATCCATCTGTCCATCCATTCATCCAGTCTGAAAGATAACTGGAATACTTGTCAATAGATTTTCTTCATATTTGATATTTATTGGAAAGATGTCTAAATACTGATTCTGATATACCACCAATGTAAGTCTTTTATTATCTGTTACAACAATTTCAAATACACTTTTTATTTTCAGTTGATGTTTCAAATTGGACGCTTCCTCAGACATATTCTCAAGAAAGTTGGTTGAAATCATATAGGAAAAGTGCAGAAAGGCGTTATGAATGTAATATTTGCCTGAAATCATTCAAAAAGTCCAGCCACCTTAAAAGTCATAGCATGATTCATACTGGGGAGAAGCCGTATGGATGTGAAATTTGCCAAAAGACATTTAGACTAAGGCATCACCTGTATAAACATAAAGAAAACATTCATAAGATTTGGATAACTTCTGCTGGCTCCCAATTGACAATGCCCAAATATGGTTATCAATGACATCACAGAGAAGAGAAATTGTATGGGCAAGATAAAGGGGTCATAGGCTTCAACATATGTTTACAGAAGATCCCAACTGAGAAAATTTATTTTAAAGTGCATTATGGTTTCATTAAGAACTGGAAAATACCTTTTTATTATAAAGGAGTGATAGCATATTTGAATTGTAATAAAGAACCCTGTTTCATTCTTTATTGGATTTAAAAGCATTCATTTATGAACCTACCCATCCTGAATATATACCTGGGCTTCACCCCTGTGCATTTTGTGTGTACAAGTACTCATATTTTAAAATTTCCAGTAAAGAATGATACAGAATTCTTTATTCTTTTATAATGAATTATTGGTAAATACATTAATTGAAGTGAGGAATAAATATATCTATAACTACAGTAACTTCTTTGAACTGCCTCTATAATCTTTTCACAACCTTCTTTGATTCTTATGAAAGGAATATATGTGCAGTAAAACCTGACCTTTAAACAGGGACAGAAATTGTAATGGTTCACAAATATTATATCAATTGGCAAACCTCAGAATCCAAAAGAGCAATTGGAAATGTTTGGAGAAAGATGAGTTGTTTGTTATGAACCAGCCCATCCTAATGGGCAGAAATAAATAAGAATCCCATCCACATATTTTTTATTATTTTCAAGGTTTTATTATTGTTTAAATATCACTCAAAGACATTTTAACTTAAAATCACTTCGTATCAACACCAAATATTTGTTCAGAAAAAGTTGATCATTAAAAATGTACCCCAAAGATTTGACAATATTCAATTTCTTTTATAACAATTGACTTGTGTTTAACATTTATATAGAATTTAGATAAGGATTTGTAGTTAAGTCTAGTGTATTGTTAACTGTAATTGTTATTATCCTACACTCCGTGTACTAAATGTATAATAACATGAAAAAATAAATTTGATATTTATTGGAAAAATGAATAACCGGAGGATATTGTATTGATATACTCCGGGCGGAGGATATCGTGACCATATACTCCGGAAAACCCAATATGCGGAGGATATTGTGACGATATACTCTGCTTCTTGATTTCCTGCCAAATTGACTCTATTTGGCTTTGCAATGATATTATGCATTTAGAACACTCCTTGTAAGTGTAGGATAATAAGAACACCCTATGATTTTTTTCAGAATATCATTTTAATCTACTCAGTGATATTGATACAGTATATGCACTCGTTTGCTTTGTTCTCTCAAGCAGATATCAATATCACCTCGAAGATAAAAATGATATTCCTCAAAATCATAGGATATCCTATAAATATTAGTACACTCAATAGTAGATAAAATTGATATCTTGCAAGAACATAGCAAACCTTTACACATTGTGTGATTTTGTTATTCTATTGCAACAACCCTTTTGTGTTGTTCATTGACTCATCTTAATGATCGAGAAAGAAAATTGACTTCTTTCTACATGGTTAAAGATGTTAATCAAGGTGTATTATTATTACAACAGTTTTCAAATATACTTTTTATTTTCAGTTGATCGATTAAACTGGACACTGCATAAGACCCAGGATTCTCACGAAGATTTCAAATCATTTAAGAAAAGTGCAGCGAGGCGTTATGAATGTGATCTTTGCCTAAAATCATTCAAAACATCCCAACATCTTGGAGATCATAGAAGGATCCATACTGGCGAGAGACCATTTAGATGTGGAATCTGCCACAGGACATTTAGACAAAGACAGCACTTGAATAAACACAAAGAAGTCATTCATAAGACCAGGAAACTCTGATGACTGCCCATTGAAAATTGAAAAACTTATAAATGACTTAGTAAGAAATTGTCTGAACAATGTATAAAAGGGGCTTCAAATGTTTTTCTATTGTAGATGCAATGATCAATGCGGTAATCAATATCTTGAAAGTGAGCGAACAGCATTAATCTTAATAAAGAATCATTAGTGAATGCATTCATTGAAGAGAGGATTAACTATATCTATAACTGCAATTGAGCCACAATTTGTTCCCACTGGGAACTTTCTTCTGAAGCTTTATACTATAGCAGTACAGTAGTCAGTATAGGACACCATGCTAAGGGGAGCCCCATAATTTTTTGAATTAGTTATTACTGATCCAATGTCTCGTTTGCTGATGGGTCCAAAAGTTATTACTGCATTTTCATAGTCCCTTATATAATGCTCATTGAATTGAAATGTTTTTGGGCCAAAATGCTAGTGTCTTGTTTGGTTAATTTGTTATCTCCATTTTTGCACCAGTTATTGAAAACATTGTGTATGAGTGTTCCTCTGCCATCAGTATAGGCTCGGTATTACAATGTTAATGCCATTTATTATCCCATCGAACGAAGTTCGGAGGGATATAGGGAACGCCTCCGTCCGTCCGTCCGTCCGTACGTACGTCCATCCGTCCGTACGTCCGTCCGTCCGGGCAATAACTCAAATACCGTTGGCCCGATTTTGTTCATATTTTGTACACATATACCCTATGGGGGAAGAAGTTCTGCTCGAAAGCCGATTTTCAAAATGGCCACTCATTTCAAGATGGCGGCCATTTTAGTGCCGATTTCACAGTAATTTAGGTGCAATATGTAAAACTGTAATAGCAATATGTTTTTAGTGTAAAAAAATTATAAAGGACATTAATAAAGCTACAAATGTAGATATTAAAAAAACACATGGCAGCCATCTTGAAAAATGGCGGCCTTTACTCATTATTTTACGATTTTTGCTGTAACTCGAAAAGTAGTGGAGCGATTTTGTTCATATTTGGTATGTGAATACTATAAACATTGCACACTGTCTAAAGACACTTTTGGTAGAAGGCGGCCATTTTTCAAAATGGCCGCCATTTCAACATATTTACTATAACTCGAAAAGTAGTGGAGCGATTTTGTTCATATTTGGTATGTGAATACTATAAGCATGGCACACTGTCCTGTGACACTTTTGGTAGAAGGTGGCCATTTTGAAAATTCTTTTGAAAAATGGCCACCTTTTTAACGTATTTTACTATAACTCGAAAAGTAGTGGAGCGATTTTGTTTATATTTGGTATGTGAATACTAAAAGCATGGCACACTGTCTATTGACACCTTAGGTAGTAGGCGGCCATTTTGAAAAATGGCCACCATTTTTACATTTTTTACTAGTACTCGAAAAGTAGTGGAGCGATTTTGTTCATATTTGATATGTGAATACTCTAAGCATGGCACATTGTCTAATAAAACTTTGGGGAGTAGTCGGCCATTTTGAAAAATGGCCACCATTTTTATGTGTGTTATTTTACAAGTACATGTGTGCGATTTTTCAAAAACTTTATAGGTGGCTACTTAAAAGCATATTATTTCTTCTGATGACAACTTGGCTAGTGAGCAACCATTTTGAAAATGGTGGCCTTTCTGGTATGTTTTTTTGATATTTGCTATATATTTCGTTTGTAAAAATGCCAGCCATTTCTGTTCGATGGGATTCGCTACGCTTTGGCGTTGCCGTTGTTCTGGTTGAAAAATCCCATAAATCTTTGCACCACTTAAAGGAGAATCTTTAGAGAAACGTTATTTCCAATGATTTCTTGATATCATTTTTATTAACCCATCTTTATGTAGATACATTATTATACTTGAATGAAATCACATACTCATAAGATTCCCTGATTAATCGATAATATATACAATAAAATACAATCTGTGTTATCAATGATACATTTATTTTTGTATGTAATTTAGTCTTCTGACCCATCCCTTTAGGATATTATACAAAAGGTGATTTAATTAAATAATTTTTCAAATTTGTTTTTTGTTTTCCAGTTTTTGGATTCCACTGGAGGCTTGCCGATGGTCAACAAATTGGAGTCACAAATCAATTAAAATCATATAAGAAAAACGCTGAGAGGAAGCATGAGTGTAACATTTGCCTGAAATCATTTAAAAAATCTGATCATCTTCAAAACCATAAAAGGACACATACTGGGGAGAGACCTTTTAGTTGTGAAATCTGCTTAAAAACATTCTCGAGAAAGCATCACCGAGACCAGCATAAAAGAACAGTACATAGGGATTTTGATTAAAGATCTTGGGAGATTTCAAGGTTAGAATAGGAAAGTAAAATGAGCATCCCGAAGTATATTATAAGTCATTGAATGATTTGAAGTGCAATACAGAATATATTGTGCTCAAGAAATGTTCAGTATTCTGCTAATTACAGAATATTGTGAGCACAACTATCCTGTATTGCACTTCAAATCATTCTATAACGTTTTTATCGTGTGATCTTAGGCCAATATATTTTACTTAGAAGATAATCCCTGTATTCTCTGTATTGCTACTGAGATTGTCCCTCCGTAGTTTTCTGTATTGCTGCAGAGATGATCAATGGGGACAATCTCAGTAGCAATACAGATTGGTACAGCACAAGAACTGGCTAATCAGAGGGCTTCGTTTTAAAGATCATACGATAAATATAGGTTATTTACTGGGTGCGCTCCCTCGGTCAATATCATTCATATTACCCTTCGGTCAATATCATATTGTCCCTCGGAATAAAACCCATATTCAATCTCAACCAGAAATAACCTATTTATTCCATAATACATTCCTCTAAAATGTTACATTTGGATAATGCTTTTATCAATTAGCCAAGGTTAAGAATAACCGGGAAACCAAAAATAGGTTAATACGTTCCAATACGATTTTTTCCAAGGGACAATATGATTTTTTCATGTTATACGCTACAACGATTTTTTCCTGGGAACAATACGATTTTTTCATGTAATACACTCCAATACGATTTTTTTCCTGGGGACAATAAGTTTTTTTCTGGTAATTCAATTCAATACGATTTTTATTCCTTCATATTTCCCTGGGAAAACAGTAGTATTATGAAATAAAAACATATACCATATTCTGATCATATTATGATTGCACATCCCCCAAAGAGCTCACAATTGACTTCATATCATATGATGGTTTTACTCCTTTGGTCATTGGAGTTTTCTGAAGTATCTTGCATGTAAACTTCAGGAGTATAGTGTGTGTTATGTTTAAGCAAATAGGTATTGTATTTATTATTACGTCACCACCAAAAGGTGGCATTGCCCACCTGTATCCTGTTAAGATTGTTCAACATTTTCATTTGTTTGTTGTCTCAAGTTAAAAAACATTATTTTAAAATGTTTTAAATCCTTTTCAAGTATGTTTTTTTGCTTTCAGATGGCAGATTCAGCTTGATCTTGGCAACAGGTGAATGCATCCAAGTTACGAAAAACATTGAAACGAAAAAGAAATATAAGAAAAGGAAATATGAATGTAATGTTTGTCTTAAAAAATTCAAAAGATTACAAGAAGTTCAAAAACATGGAGTTGTACATACAGGAGAAAAACATTTTAAATGTGATATTTGTTTCAAGAAATTTGGACATAAAGATCACATGGATAGACACATAAAATCATTTCATAAAAAAACTGAGAAAAGGAATTACAAATGTAACACTTGTCTGAAATCATTTAAAAGATCTGAACATCTTGAAAACCATAGAAGGACACATACTGGAGAGAAACCATTCAAATGTGAAATCTGTTTAAGAACATTCTCACGGAAGCATCATGTTGATCAGCATAAAAAATCAAAGCATAAGGATCCTGATAAGAAATCCTAAATTGTGAAGATTTCAAGGTTAAACTAGAAAGGTAATATGGGCATCCTGGATTAACTTAGCATATTCTCCCAAAAGAGTGCACAGGCCACTTCCTATGATGAGTAAAGTCTCAGGAAAACTGAAAATACACTGACCTGAGCAACAGAGAATTTTACTCCTTTGGTCGTTTGAATTTTCTAATATTTATCTATTCCCATGTTTTAAAATTTTAGGAGTGCACTCTTTAAAGAGAATATGGTATTTTATATAGTGGGCGTATTATTGGCATAGTAAGGTAAATTTGACATAGGATATGCCATGATTCACCTTCTCTCTCAAAATGAAACTTTCACTGAACAAATATACAATTGATTTTTGCAAAGCATAATCACTTGAGACTCATTCTTTTTATTGCCCTTGAATATGTTATGGTCAGATTGAATAGACCTTTCATTATTTCCTTGCATGTTTTTGGTCTTGGCTTTCTTCCTGTTTGTTTGTTGTCTCCTCACAAACCAATAAGTTAAAAACAATAGTATAATGTTTTAAATCCTTTTTCAAGTATTGTTTTTGCTTTCAGATGGTAGATTCAGTTTGATTCTGGCAAGTGGTGAACACTTACAAGTGACGAAAAACATTGAAGCATACAAGTTCCATAAGGAAAGGAAATATGAATGTAACATTTGTCTAAAAACATTCAAAAGATTACAAGATCTTCAAAAACATAGAGTTGTACATACTGGGGAAAAACGTTTTAAATGTGATATCTGTTTAAAGAAATTTGGACGTAAAGATCACATGGACAGGCATATAAAATCAGTTCATAAGAAATTTGATTATTGAGGATGTACTAAGAAAATATGAAAGTGTATTGTAATTACATAATTAAATTGTTTACAAATGTTACTCAGTTATATATTAAAACTCTTACAAGTAAACAATTTTATGTTTAAAAGAACAGTAAAACCTGTATAGGTAGAACACCTTATTTACTCGAGAGATGTTCTTTCATTTAACATAGAGCCTTTGTTCAGGAGGCTGTGAAGTCTTAGGAAGGTGTTCCGCTTAAAGAGGTGTACCAATAAGGGAAGTATTCCACTTAAAGAGGTGTTCATTTTGACAGTTTTTATTTTTACAAAAACTCGATAGAGATCAAACTTTATTTTGGGAGCTCAGTACCCTGTTATAGTCTATAAGGACTTTATACTGTATATAGTTGATTTATTATATTGTTATAATTATTTCATTAATATAATACCATGCATGGGCCCAATGCTGCTTACTAAATCAGATAATGGTAGTGTTGGGACTGCATTATATAGTAATTGTAAATACTGTGCAATAGTTGTTATATAACCACCATAGGTCTCCAACATTTTTGTGGACAGTGTTTTGCAGTTGGAGTTCAGTGTCTGTAACAAATGGCAGGTGGTGAAATTTTGTATATTTTCGTCTTACTGTTGTTTTGTACTGCTAGGTGAGCAGGTATTTGCCACATAAATGTCGTCATTAAAATTCCAAGAAATCAACTGATCTGTTCAACTTGAGATATTTTTACAGACCTAAGAGCAGACTCATGTCAAGAACTGATAAGTTTTTTTTTTGAATTTTGCAATAAAAGTGTGATCTATCGCTGTGTATTTTATTTTTAATATAAGAGGTTTTAAGAATTGCAAATAAAGCAAAAATATGAAAAACACTTTTTGATTTTGATTGAAATTAATTGATTTTTAACTATGTTGTATGCTTTAGTATATCTTTGTAATTAAATAAAATACTCCTGTAATCTTTTAAAAATAGAAATAAAGAAAATGTGCTTAGGAATGACATAAAAGCTGTTCAATTGGTATATTAGCCTGGGGTCATTCTATGTTGGAAGAGATACATTTTCAGTTATTCAACTTTTATCATCATTACATTCAACAATGAAGCACAAGAAAAACTATTTCAACTGTTCCAATATTTAAAAACTATTCCAGCATTCAAAAATGAAAAAAACATCCTATCTTTAATATCAATCAGTCTTTAACAATCCAATTAAGTATTGCAGCATGCAAGGAAGAAAAACACTTTCTACCATATCAAGGTTCAAATACCTGAATTCATAGAATCACAGTTTTAAGAAAAACAACACTGACTTGGCCAAAAATAGGTTTACAGCTATTCTACAATCTATAAACTGTGAATATACTTTTGGGCCACCCTGTATATTTCACCATCCCCAAAGCATGTGTCACTCTGACCAATTATAAACTGTGAATATACTTTTGGGCCACCCTGTATATTTCACCATCCCTAAAACATGTGTCACTCTGACCAATTATAAACTGTGAATATACTTTTGGGCCACCCTGTATATTTTACCATCCCCAAAGCATGTGTCACTCTGACCAATTATAAACTGTGAATATACTTTTGGGCCACCCTGTATATTTCACCATCCCTAAAACATGTGTCACTCTGACCAATTATAAGCTGTGAATATACTTTTGGGCCACCCTGTATATGTCACCATCCCTAAAGCATGTGTCACTCTAACCAATTACATTAATACCTATAATTAATGCTTTTCAAGATTTGGGTACAGTGAAACCTGCTGTGCAAGTGGAACATATGTGGTACCTCTAGGATTGTGTTCCACTTGAGAAATGTTCCACTTACAGAGGTGTTTGACTTACAGGGATGTTCCACTTCACAATTTTACTCTACTAACTGTCTATTGACAGTTAAATGTATTATCCAGTTATAAACCATGGTGTTTTACTTTATCAATTCAATTTTTTAAAGTATTTTTTCTGTTTCCAGTTCACAGATTCAATTGGAGGCCAGCTGGTGGTAAACACATCCAAGTAGCACAAAACATAAAATCATACAAGAAAAATGAAGAAAGACAATACGAATGTAACATTTGCCTGAAATCCTTCAAAAGATCTCATCATCTTGAATCCCACAAAAAGACCCATACCGACGAGAAGCCATTCAGTTGCGCTTTCTGCTGTAAGACATTTAGACGCAAACATCACCTTAATAGACACATGAGTACTGTTCACAGACAACTCATAAATCGGCAGGTCACAGAATATGCTGATATGAATGCTGAAAAAGGCACATCGGAAAATGTTTAAAAACAAAAAAGACTCCAGATTCATATAGCATGCCGTTTTTGTAGTATTAAAGCGATCATCCCAAATTGTGATTTTGATAAACTCACCTGGCCAATCCACTTTCACAAAAACTTCAAGATTTGAAGACTTAAACTATTTAAAAGTCTCTCTGACTAATATGAAATACAATGTGTATGTATAGGATGTTCTAATTATCCCATAGTTGAGGTCAAATCATCCCATAGTTCACCACACATTGATTTAAATATATATATGTGTTATTCTACAGATTTGACCTCAACTATTACTTATATTCTACTGTGTGTCATTTTATTATTGTAGTGTAGTTACTATATTAAGTATATTTACATTCATGTAATTATACTGAAACTGATAATTGTTTGCTTTTTGTTGTAAAAATAAAATAATAATCACTGAAACATTGTTAAGCACTCATCTATAAACTGTGAAAAATAATTATATGTTTTAGTTGGTTATGGCATCCAAATTGAATACTGACAGTTTAGGGAAAAATAATCTACTGTAATTTTATTAAACAACAAACCTTTGAAAAAAGTTGATTTGCAGTTCACTTGCAATTCTCATTAAAAGACCTGGGCAAGGTGGTGAGAGGTTTATAGTACAGTGATACCTGTCTTATTTAAACACCACTGGAATTTTATCCAATTACCCACTCTGAAATGGTTAATTACTTTTATATAAATATTAAAATTTTGACACCATTGCTGACATGTGATTTTACAAATGACAAATTGGTTAACATTCAGATTTGTACTCTAGATTGTGGAGTTGCTAAATTCAAAAATGGCCAAAGTTTCATCAATAACATAAATTTTGTGAAGCTCAAGGTCCCCAAAAATCATAACCCCAAAGAAAAAATTAAAAGGCAGAACTGAATCTTCCTTCATCAAATTAACATTACTATAAAACCATCAAATTAGAACTTTTAATGACTTAAATGGCAAATTCACCAAATTGAATAGTGCCAAAGTAACCCAAGTGGCATATTGTAACAATTTTGTATACATTGTCTAGTAGTTGTATCTATCTACATTATGCAGGTTCATAGACATAATAGGACAATCATGGTAATATATTTTTCTAATTTTTCATCAACTCCAACTTTAGGTGTGTTAATACTGTACCGTATATGCATTTAGTCAAACATACCTAAAATCTTTCATTATACTTCCAGGCTACATATTACCACAATGGATGGAACCTTTGGGAAGTTTAGCAGAGTTGAGCAGCCAATCAGAACTTCAAAGGATCAACAAAACGGGAGGCGTCTTCGATCCTTCAAGGGGCTCCCTGGATCTCCAAGGGGCAGTCCCCAATCCTTCAAGGGAACACACCAAGTCAGCATCACAGAATACAGAGAGGAAACACACATGCACACTTTGCTTGAAATCCTTCAAGAAATCACATCATTTAACATATCACCTCAGTTCCCATAGCAACGAGCGACCAAACATGTGTACATACTGTAATAAGGGTTTTAAGATAAAGCATCATCTAAAGAGACATGTGAAGAATAAGCATGCAGACCAACTGAGATTAGATTCACAGTTTCCTCAAGACAACAGTCATCTGCTTGAAAAGGGTGCGCCAGAATAAGAATTCAAATTGACTGTATAACACTAGTGGGATAATTTCTATTATGTGCATGTTTTGTATTTGAAATCAATTTTGCTTCATTACGGACAATACATTTAAGGGGTTCTGTGAGGAATATGTGATGTTGATGTAACTTTAAGTGAGATAGCTCTTTTTATCATGGATGAGTATTTCTTACATACCAGATGAAATCTAAGGGGCCATAAGTTTGTATTAAGAATAAGGACTTTAATTTCATATATAAATAAGGGCGACAAGATAGTATAAGGAACAAGGGCTGTAAGTGCATTCAAGAGGGCTATAAGTGCATCTAAGAGGGCCATAAGTGCATCCAAGAAGGCTATAAGTTTTATAAGGAATAAGGGCTGTAAGTCCATGTATCAGTAAGGGCTATACATGTGAAACAGGAATGAGGCTATTAATAGGTATAGCAAGTTATACTTTTCTTATATGTTTTCAGCTACTATATATGTACATGTATTTCTGAAATTGTAATAAATTGTTCTCTATTAAAATAAAAAATATATATTTTAAATAATTTTTTTAGGCTATACCACAATCCAACACTAACATTACATCCAACTACCTTACTCACTTAAATCAAATAACTTCATTATTCATCAAATAAATGGTCATTGGTTATGTTGAACTTATTCACCCAATTATCAGCTAAATATTTCTCAAAAATGAGACAACAAGTATGAGCTAGAGGAGCAATGGTGTAAATTACCAGTATCACTGGCATGTAGCGATTTAAGCGATACTGAATACTTTACTGAATTGTGTCGAAGTTAGACGTGTGGTGCGGAAGTTAATATGCAGATGACCATCATTTCAATGTTATATTGTTTGTAGGCAAATTGAGATTAGGCCATTGGAGTATTTGTTTCACGCATACATAAAGCCTAACGCATTCAAGGGTCACATTTATCATTAAACCAATAACTCAAACATATGACCTTGTACACCGACCACCTCTTGAAATCCATGCAGGCCGATTTCAACGAATGCAAACGGTGATATATAAAAGAAACATAATCAAGCATGACCACGTCCCAACTTCTTTTGTTTTCTTTACAACTAAGCTATGACTGCAGTCTATTCAGTGTTGCGTATCGAACCTTGTTTATTATAAAAATAGTGCAACAACAAGCAGAATTCACACATTTACCTATACTTATTCTCAACTGAAGACATTGAATTTATCTCTTAGGTTTTACATTATAAATATCTTAACATGCAGAATACGAAAATAGAGGCTTAGGCCCAACTTTGTATGGATTTTATGAAAATAATCTGATTTTAGAGAAATGAAAAGAAAAATGTCCACACCCTACACAAAATATTTATTGTTCCCCGGGAATACGTATGTGTTGCTTGTATATTAGAATCGTATTCCAGTTACAGAAAGAAGTACATATTATGCTAAACTATATATATATATATTTATCGTCTATTATCCTTTGACAAGTAGAGTAGAGAATAAAAATAAAAAATTAAAAAAATTCAAAAAAGGAAATAAGATTAATTTTTTAGAAAACTACTTAGTGTATGATAAAGCAGATATGTGCGGTCGGTTTGGATATGGGGTTTATCCCTCGTGAGATATGCACGTCTACCTTCGGTCCCTATGGTCCATCAGGTAGATATAGAGATTATCCTATATGAGGTTCAGGATATTGGGATTACCCCGAGGCAAATATAATATATCTGTCCGAGGGCCGCAGGTCCCGAGGGAAAATATATTTTATTCCATAATACTACTATTTTCCCAGTGAAATATGAAGGAATTAAAATCGTATTGAATCGTATTACATGAAAAAATCGTATTGTCCCCGGGAAAAAATCGTATTGGAGCGTATTACATGAAAAATCGTATTGTCCCCGTGAAAAAATCGTATTGGAGCGTATTGACCTATTTTTTAGTTTCCCGGTTATTTTATTTATTTATTTCATTTTTCAAACAATGTGCATTTATTAATATAACGTTTGCATTATCCAAATGTAACATTCTAGAGGGATGTAATATGGAATAAATGGGTTATTTCTGGTCAGGATTGAATATGGGTTTTATTCCTCGGAAAATATGATATTGGCCTTGGGCAATATGATATTGACACTCGGTCGCTGCGCTCTCGGTCAATATTATATTACCCTTCAGTCAATATCATATTGTCCCTCGGAATAAAACCCATATTCAATCCCTCCCAGTAAATAACCTATATGTATTCCATACCTGATGAGGTTTCAGGGGCATATCAACCGGGAATATATTCCATATCCGGCAAATATTTTTCGTATGTCCCGCTCCGACGGAGCTCCATATAAATCGTATGTCCCGCTCAAAAAAATGTTAAAAATAAAATCTGAAAAAAAAATTTGAAAAAAATTTGGAAAAAAGGTTTGAAAAAAAAGTTTTGAAAAAAATTTGAAAAAAAAATGTTGAAAATATTCTGAAAAAAAGTATGCCAAACAAAGGCGAAAAAAATGTGGGAAAAAAAATTGGGAAAAAAATGTGAAAAAAAAAATTGGAATTTTTTGTTCATTTTTGAAAAAAATCTGAAAATAAAAATTTGAAAAAATTGTGGAAAAAAATTATGCAAAAAAATGTGAAAAAAATCTTGAAAAAAATTGTGAAAAAAAATTTTGAATTTTTTTGAAAATGATAACATATTTTGCAAGTAACACACCAGAGCATGTGGGGAACATACTCAAGATATCATATTCATTCGTGGATAAAAATCATATCTCTCATAAATCATAGGATATCCTCTATATCCCATGGTTGCAATGATATAGATCGAATATCACATGATGATATATTTGATATGTGACCAAGATATCATATTTTAGTAAACAATTTACAAACCATCGAATATCACTTTGAACTATCGAATATCACGTCTAAAGAAGTGATATTCGATGGTTTCGAATTTTTTCAAAAAATGAATTTTGAATATTTGAAGACGTAAATCAAGATAATTTCTACTCGCATCTTGTCTATTCCACAGGTTTGGGAAAAGTGTACAGGAAAATCTCCATGTTCAATTGATGTATGATCAATATAAGAATCGAATGTATTCTCGTGTGCATTACAATATCAACATTGAAACATTTTTGGCCTGCAATGGACGTATAATGGATTAGAATATGAGGCCGTGTTATCATTCAAATGCAAAGTCATGGTATTGGGTTGCAAGTTAATATCAGATTCAATGCAAAGTAATCATTTAATATCAGATGCGCGATCAGTCCAATAATGTAATTTCGGGTCATCAGTTCGATATCTAGCAGTTGTTCTAACGAGACGGTATTACTAGGCTATCGTGTTATAAATACACACACATATAAATAAATCAAACTGGTACACGATATAAGCACGACTGTTCTTTCAATTGAGTATAAATGTTGATAAACTTACCCGGAAGCCAACACATACACGTTTAGACGATGCTATTTTCAGTTCAGTGTAACAGTAAATGCCCGGATATCGAAGCTTTTTCGTGTAAAGTTTTAACCAAGCATGTAGTATCGGGTTATATTGCGTGTAGAATTTATCGATATCAGGGCCGCTACATGCCAGTGAGTATGGATATTGATGATTTAATGTTGAAATGACATCTCCACATTTTTCTTTACAGCATCAGAACTACCTTAATAAAATCCATTTAAGGCTATCAGTGAAATCCTCCATTGCACCCATAACTGAGAAACTGTTTATTCTGTATGTGCCCATAAGTTGGAAATGTAAATATGATGCTGTTAATATATTGCAGCAATGGTTTCGTTCAAACAGGGGAGCCAATGGTTTTATCTGGCTAAGCATTAATACTCCTTTATGAGAACTTATGTGACATATACACAGCCAATATAATTCGGCACCGTTTCGGCATCGAAAAAATTCGGCGCTGTTCCGGCACCGTTTCGACACCGTTCCGGCACCGAAACCTTTGGACACTTAAATTTGCTACCGGACTAGTCAGTCCATTTGGTGCCGAAACGGCACCGAAATTTGGCACCGAAACGGCGTCGAAAATCAGATTGCATTTTGGGGGTGTATGATAAAGGATCTCCTTTGTGCAAAAGATATTTAAACAATATTTCACATTTTCCAGATCTCCTTCAATTAGACCACAACTGGGGAGCATACAATACAAAAACAAACACAATGGAGGTATGCATCGACCCACAATACTTGGCACAAACCCATGACACAAATCAGCCCCCACAATTTAAAGCAATACAAGACAGGCAAACATTTACAAATGAGAGTCTCATATCTCCACAACTGACAACTACCTTTTACATGCAACAGGACACAAATGCAGCCCACCCATCCCCAAAGCAGGTCTCGTCATCCCCATCATCAACTGAAAGGAAGCATACATGCACATTGTGCTTGAAGTCATTCAAGGGACATGGTGCGCTGTCCAATCATCTCCTTACCCATAGCGAGCGTACCTTCAAGTGCATGTACTGCAATAAAGCATTCAGGATGAAGCACCACCTAAACAGGCACATTGGAACATTGCATAAAAAGGTGAATACCCTGTATTGAAGATTGGAAAACTATGTATAGTGAAGTGTTGCCATAAAGAAGTACACTCCTCTCAAAATGTTTAGCAACTGGAAGTGCCCTTTAACACATGTGTTTAAGTTGTTAACATTTGACCAAATTGGTCACAATTGATCTGACCTAGGTGTTTGTTAAGTCTAAAATCAATCTTTTACAAAACTTGGCATAACCTCCCACAGTAACACGACCCCATCTTATTAGTCATCTTTTTTTCTTTTTTTTATTGTGATTAATTTTCTCCAATCATTTTATACATTATTATACATTTCTAATATTACATTCTTGATCAAACAAGCACAACAAATTGGGATGATCCCCATATTTGTACTTACTTATACAATTCTTTGCAATAACAATAATATAATTGATATAGTCTTCTTCCTTTTTGTTTTACATTCATACTTGAATAAAATGTGTTTGTGTCCTAGTCTAATTCTGTGCCCAAATCTAGCATTTAATTTGCACTCTACTTCATTCCATAAAAACTTTACTCTTTTGCAAGAAATGAAAAAGTGTGCATATGAATCTTCCTCATTACAATATGTACAATTCTTTGAGGCAACTCCTTCAATTTTCCATTTGAAAAGGTGAGTTTTAGTTGGGTAAATATTATGTAGAATCTTATATTGAATACTCTTAAGTCGTGGCTCTTTGAGAGTTTGAATTAACTGCCAATTTCTTTTCCAATTTAAATCTGGATAAATATGTTTCCACCTTTCAATGCAAATAGGGACAGCTTGGTCTCTCTTTAGAATCACTTTCTTTACATCCTTTGAAGTTAGGTTTTTTATCTTTACATTATTGTACATCTTCTCTTATTAGTCATCTAGATTGATGGCAATCATCATATCATATCATCAATGTTATTTTCTGGCATGGTTAGGTGTGTAATGGTAATGTAATATTAAACATTAAACATTTTAAATATTAAACATTTTAAAACCAGAGCTTTTTCATTTTCTGATTGCATTTGCCATATTTGATGTTTGGTAATACCACAAACATAGACAAATTGCCATATTTTAATGCATTTGTGTAAATTGGACAAAATCTGTCACTCTGGGTATTAAAGGGGTATGGAAGATGGTAGGAATACTTTTAAAAAATGAATCTGTAGTTTTCAATTAACTGGAGATAGGAAATCTTCACTAATGAAAATGGTGCATGAAAGGGGCTCATTATACTTAAGTTCAAGTTTGAGGTCTGACTATCTCCTCTTATCTTTCAGGTATTGGTCAGAGATGGCAAGAGATGATTCAAGATGAGACGGGAGAATCAGATGCTACAATATACTCTTACAATAACCCACAAACAAATCCTCCAGAAGATACATCAAAACACTATACTCAGGAGGCAACCGGGGCTCAACACAGGGACATTTACGCAGCAAAATTGCATCGAAGAAACCCCACATCCAAAACACATAGACCAACCAATCAAAAGGATCTATATAACATGTTTGCCTGTGAGGAATGTCCGAAAGTTTTCTCTTCTAAAGGAGATCTGACAAGACATAGAAGAGTCCATACTGGCGAGAAGCCATTTCAATGTCAACTCTGCCTGGCCACTTTCAGTCAAAGGAGTAACTTAGGAAGACATATGAAGGCAATTCACTATAAAACATGATACCTAAAGCACTAAAGTGCTATAGCTCCATAGCGCTATATGGCCCATTTTGAACACTGATTTTAGAAAGAATTTCACTGCCTTGCCACTTTCAGTCAGAGAAGTAACTCGGAACGACATATGAAGGCAATTCATTATACTACATGATCGAAGTAACTTGGTGAAACTTATGTATAGTAGTAAAACATGACCCCCCTCCCTTTTACTGATATATTGGCTTTTATGAGGTTGATTGCACAAGGCTTATCCTGACATGGCGCCATAATGCTATAATGACCATTTTGAACATTTTGTATAAAGATTTAGTAACCTGCTGTAACAGCTTCAGAAGTAGATCTATAGCAATCATAGTCAAAGCCTTCTATCTCATCCAAGGCAGAGAGGTCTTAGAGTTTTAAGAATAGTGTTTCACCTTCATATGAATTATCATATATGTATAGGCGACATGTATTACCAAATGAAATAAAATATAATACAAAATATAATGTTGTGTCTTGATTGTGACGGTCTCAGGTGTGTCAATTAATGCCAGTAATTACTGATTTATCACCCAATAAAAATTCCAACAAAATTTAGAAATGGCCTCAAAATACTAGTAAATTAGTTTAGAAATGTATTCATGCTAATAGGATACATTTCCTCATGTATTTTTACTACATCTTGGACAACTGGAATATTATATTTTGAAACTTTCTAATATTCATGTAAAGCAACTTTTAATAATATACTTACATCAACATAAAATGCACCAATTATGGATTCACAATTTCCACTGTCTTACTTTATTGACAATAGTAATTTTACCTTAAATACATGTTATAGTATGTTGCTCACTGATAAATAGAAATACAGTAGAACCTGTCTTAGCGAACTCCTCTCTCTAGTGAACATCTGTCTTTAGTAGACACCTTTCCTCCACACATATTCTACACACCTACCAACACTGAACGTTTTTTCTTGGCAAAAAAATTCACTATACACAGGTATCACTGCCAATGGATAATGGGGAAAAAGTCTAACATTTTTGTTTGAAAACAAGTTAAAAAACATGCATTATATAATAACATATAGGTATATAACCAAGGTGGTTACAGAATTAGTTTTCATCATTGTTCATTGACTGAAACATTTATAGTGTTTAGCTGTAGAATTGTTTGGTCACATATTATTGACCATATTAATAAACACATTTTAATTGACCATTAATCACTTTGATTATTGACCATATTTGCCAGATAATCACATTAATTATTGACCATATTATCCCATAGATTATTGACCATATAATCATTCAGATTATTGGCCATAGCATAACACACATTATTGACCATATTGTCACAACCAAATCACCACAAAGATTATTAACCATATCAATAACAATGATTATTGACTATATCATTACAAATTATTGACCAATTTGTCACACATATTATTGACCATATCACACAAATTGAAGCCAACGGGGATTTTGTTGGAATTTGCAACTTCAGCCCAGTCTATAGAACATGCAACAATATTATGTAGGAAATTATAACAGTAACCAGTATATAAACAATTGCAAAACCAGAGCAAGTTGCCTCTTTCCTGCAGCTACTTGCCTCAACTATTTTTAAGAACTCTGGAAGAAACTTCAAAATATATTTCTAAATATTTGAACTATTTTTCAGCTCAGTGGCAGATGACAGCCAAAGAACAACTACAATATACAATGCATCAAACTCGACAACATATGGACATACCAGTACATGTATATGCAGCACACAACAGGGGGATCCAGAATCAGGAAGCATATGGACATGTGCAACAGTTAACAGGAACAGCTGGACAGCAATTAACAGGAACAGCTGGACAGCGGTTAACAGGAACAGCTGGACAGCGGTTAACAGGAACAGCTGGACAGCAGTTAACAGGAACAGCTGGACAGCAGTTAACAGGAACAGCTGGACAGCGGTTAACAGGAACAGCTGGACAGCAGTTAACAGGAACAGCTGGACAGCAGTTAACAGGAACAGCTGGACAGCAGTTAACAGGAACAGCTGGACAGCAGTTAACAGGAACATTTAAATCAAATAAACAGGCTATGAACTCAAGTCCACATCGTACATGCGAGTATTGTCAAAAAGTATTCAGAGCTGGCCGTGATTATCTAAGACATGTAAGGATCCATACTGGAGAAAAGCCATACAAATGTCCAATGTGTCTCAAACAGTTCAGACAACCTGAACATTTGAAGGGTCATATAAAGAGACACCAAAAACCATTGTTGAAGTAATTATTGCTATAATAATCCACTATTGTATGTTTGAGGATACATACTGGAGAGAAGCCATGCTAGAGAAAACCATACAAATGTCAAATGTGTCTTAAACAATTCAGACAACCTGAACATTTGAGGAGTCATATGAAGAGACAACAAAAACCATTGTTGAAGTAATTATTGCTTTAATAATCCACTATTGTATGTTTGAGGATACATACTGGAGAGAAGCCATACTAGAGAAAACCATACAAATGTCAAATGTGTCTTAAACAATTCAGACAACCTGAACATTTGAGGAGTCATATGAAGAGGCACCAAAAAAGATTGTAGAAGTGTTCATTGCTATAATTATTCACTATTGTATGTTTGAGAACCCACACAGGAGAGGATCCATATTAGAGAAAACCATACAAATGTCAAATGTGTCTTAAGCAATTCAGACAACCTGAACATTTGAAGGGTCATATAAAGAGACAACAAAAACCATTGTTGAAGTAAATATTGCTATAATAATCCACTATTGTATGTTTGAGGATCCATACTGGAGAGAAGCCATACAATTGTCTAGTGTGTCCTAAGACATTCAGGCAATGTGAACTTTTGAAGAAACATATGAAGAGATACCAAAAACATTGTAGAAGTAATAGTCACTATGATAATTCACTATTGTATGTTTGAGGATCCATACTGGAGAGGATCCACACTGGAGACAAGACATACAAATGTCTAATGTGTGTTAAGACATTCGGGCAATGTGAAATTTGGAAGGGTCATATGAAGATACACTAAAAAAAGTTGTAGGAGTAATAATCACTATGATTATTCTCTATTGTATGCTTAAAAGTGTGTCAGATATTAAGTGTGCATTGCTTGCAGCCAGACAATATAACAATGTAAATAAAAATATATACTAGTAAATAAATTACAAATTCAAAGAATAATGGAAAGGTTTATCCAGACGTGTCATGGGCACAGCCAGGCATGAGCCAGGCAAGGCTGTGCTTCGCCAAAATTTAAATGAAAAATATTTATTCAAACGTTTTTTTTTCAATGAAAATGTGGAAATGAAGTAGGGAGTAGTGTTATCTCCTTTAGCCTTAATTTGCCTTGCCTTTTTGATCCTGGCTACGTCACTGCATGTGTCAAAGGATGGCCAGGAGAGTGTGCTCAGAACTTTCCTATCAATTTTGATGTCCCCTAGCTCATATGTGACATATTAAAATTGTATCTGATTATCTACATAGACTAAATACAAACAATCGATTTTAACTCATTTTTATTGAATTAACAAAGGCCATAAGTTAAAATAGTTCACAAGCTAATTGGCAAAAATTTAAACTTGGCTATTTCTACATCTTAAATCTTTTTTTTTACTTTTGAAAAATACGAAGTCAAAGAAATGTTACCTTTAAATCAATGTTTTTGTATTAATACATTAATGCACCTGTATTATGAAAACTGTAAAGTAAACTCTATTTTAAAAATAAACATAGACACAAATGTAGAATACTTAGCTTAATTTTCTAGTTTACTAAATTGAATGCAAAAAATCTAAACGTACAATAGTACTGATATAAAAATACAGTAAAACCTGTGGAATACCTCTATTGAACTTCTTTAAGTGGAACACATAATCATATGTAGAACATTTTTCAAAGTCCCAACCCAATTGACTTAAAGTTAAATGATATTCTGAAAGTGAGATTCCAAATGTGTTCCACTTACATAGGTTTAGCTGTATACATGTAAATACAGGGTGACCAAAAACTCATGGGAATTTGTTAGGGGAGATATATGAGTGATTTTTCTTCAAAAATTCTTGTCAGTTATTCCTCAATGTATGTTTAATAAGTGCACCTTTGAAGAAAAATCATCCATGCCTTATATCTCCCTCAAAATATTTTCATGAGTTCTGGGGCACCCTGTACTCGCATATATCCCAAAGACACCTCCCTGGTGTCTTTAAAATAATTTGTAGTCATGACATTAAAAGCATAATCCCATAAAATGAAGTATTGTCAGTATTTGATCATTTGACATTTTTATTTACAGGTCAGGGAATATTACCATGGCAACACAGAGATAACACTATGGCAACCAATGCAACGATGGTTCCTCGAGGACCATACAAGAAACCAACGAAGCCAAGAAACCATCTATGCAGCATCTGTCTGAAGTCATTCACCCAATCGAACAACCTACAGTACCATATGAACATACATACGGGTCACAAGCCTTACAAATGTACCATATGCCCTGATGTAGGATTTGCTGCCCCTGGCGGCCTTGCACAGCATAATAAGAAATATCATTAACAGAGAGTTTGCACATTAGGTAATAAGAAATACCACTCAGAAACTGACAGTTTTCGCTGTTATTGTAAGCTCATACATCCATCTTCATAAGGTTTTGTTACGCTTAATGGGTCAATATACTGTAATAAATGTAATGAAGCTCAATTTTTGGGACCACCCTGTAGGCTCAAGGTACTTGCAAGCTGCAATATTTTTTGTCTTGGATCTAACTTTTTTTCGTCGTTTATGCCCCAGTTCACAAGGTGAGTCTTTAAAACCGCCCACTTATCCATTAGTCAGTCTGTTTGCCCGTCTATCCGTCAACAATTTCATCTGGCTCCTACTTTTTCCTTGTTTAGGCAAAAATGGTGTTTTTGTACTCATCATGTCAAATATAAGTTTTTTTTATTGGGTTTGCATATTCAGAACTGCCATTATTAGAAATATTTGTCACCACCTGCCAATTGCTAGAGACGCTGAATGCTGCATCCCAACAGCAGTCACAAAAAGAGACCATATAAACCAATATGTCACCTATTTTGGTGGTGACATTATAAGCAAATAAACCTTCTAAACTTTGTTATATGACATATTCTTAGCATGTCTTACCTTTACAGGACCAATGTTATTTTGGAGAAGCAGAAATATGGTGTCTGATAAATTCTCAAATGAAAATATCTTAAAAATAGACCTTATCTTGTTCCTAGTGAAAGTCACCGTAATTTATATGTTCCCCTATAAAGTTTTAATGTCACCATCAGGGAGGGGTTACATGTTTTTATAGCTACAATGTGTTGCTGGCATTTCATGTCTCAAAAATTGTTGCATTTTTTCTCATAGCAACTGTCGGATTAATCCTTGTTATGAAATGATAGAAAATTCTGAGAATTGGTTTTCTAGGAATGTCATTGAGCAGCTTATTTTTTTGATTCTATGTCATTTTGACAAGACAATATCATCCTCTTTAAGATTCAAAATTGAATAACATGTCCTTTTTTATGTTTTACAGGTGGCCACCCACTGTTTCTATGGCAACAATCCATGCTGCAACCACCCATGCAGAGGTCATTACCAAAGAAGCAAGATATAAGGAGATACAAATGTAACCTTTGCCTGAAATCATTCATGAGGTCAAACCACTTGAAATACCATTCAAACATCCACACTGGAGAGAGACCCTACAAGTGTAATGTTTGCCAAATGGGATTCGCTGCACCTGGCAACCTAGCTTCCCATAAGAAAAGAACAAATCATATTTGAGATATGTTGTAAATTCATTTTGCTTTTATATTTTGACAAAATTTGTATTTCACCTACTTATGTTATCTCATTCTGATCTACTTTTGTATTCAAGTAATCTGAACATTTTTTTCAGTTCGGCCTATTTTTTATTTAAATGGAAAAAGAATGAGCATTAGTCTACACCATGCAATTTCTGTGTACATACACTTTGTCAGAGTCCAATTAATGAGCATACCATTTCATAACTTTAATTCTGGTTTTTCTAGTTGATTATAAAACCACTTGACCCATCTCAAAGAGTTCCTTTAATTCTGTTGTTATCACAATTTATATTTTTTGAAACATACAGCTGTGATCTCCCCAGCATTAAAGCAAGTGGGCACAGCACCCACCTAAAATTTGGAAAATAGACTTGCACCCACCTGAAAATCCATTTGCCACCACTTGAAAATGAGAAGAATCATGAAAAATTGGCATATTTTGACCAATTTTGGTCTGAATTGTGATAATGAGAATTTTGCACCCACATGAGATAAAATTCTGAGGAGATCACTGTACAGTATTGACAAATACAGGATTTACAACACTATCATTGCTGTTTTAAATCTTTTTGTCCCTTAACTAAACGTCCTTCCATTAAGACAGTTTTATAAAGCAATCCTGAGGTGTAGACTACACCTATGGCACAGTACACAGAGGTCATCATTAGGGGAAGGAATGGTAAACGCTGTTGAAGTCCAATAAGTCTATGTACACATTCTGTATACAGCAATAATGGTACCAGCCCAAGGGTGTATAGAGATTCCAGTTTATTTAATAATGGCAGGCTAAATCCTTGAGACTTGCGACTGGAATACAATGGGCAATATTAGAATTAGAAGAATCCCTCTTAGATATTACCTTGTAACTGAAACATAATATACAGAGTGTCCATGAAGTATATTACATTACAAAACAAAGTTTGCGTAATGTGTAAAGACTTTATGGATACCATGTAAAATATTTAAATGACAAGAATTGTCATGATATGTATTCTATTATTCTTGATGTTTATTACTCAAATTATTTCCATTAAGTGAAGCAAAACTTGTGATTTACTTCAATAATTAACTAAAATATGCAAATATTTTTTTAATATTATCTTATTTCTTGAGTTTAATATTAGTGTTTGGTTTTGAAATAGTCTAAATCTTTATTGTGTAATCGCAACCAATGTTTCTGTTTCAACCCAAGCTATATAACATGTTTTGTACAAATGTAAACTTTATACATGAAATAAATGAAATTTTCTGTGTAAAAAGTGTTTTTGAATTTAAATGAGTGACTTACTTGTAATATTTGTTGAGAGAGATGAATGCAAATCCCTGGTATGCGACTAGCATACAGATTTTGATGGGTGTTTCTGAAACAAAATACATCATGTATACAGTTACTACAGTATATACATCTTTCTAAGGGAAAATACCATTCATAAAGGGTGCACTGAGAGCTATATAGTATTAAGGAATGGGTTTTGAGGCAACATAGGGGTTTTTGAGCCAATAAAGAATTCATGAGGGTTTTGAGGCGAGTATACAAATTATAAAGGGGTTCCTGGGGCATTATCATTAATAAGGATAATAGAGCCAATGTACAATTTATAAAGGAAAATCTGATGCTATAGACAGGGTGTTCAACATGGCATTATACAGGGTGTTCAACATATATGGCTAATTGTGCTATATCTTTGTCACATAACATTTCTGAACCTTCCACTATCTGCTTAACTATCTGCCTTAGACTGTCTCATTTTCTATTTTGTCAGGCTGTGTTGGAAAGAGAGAATGAGGCAAAAACAAACAGGGGTGTAAATAATCCCAAAATATTTCCTCCTCACCTGCTTTAGTAAAGATAAGAGGTAACAGTGAGAAATGGCCAACTGTAGACATAAGTAGAAATATTCTCCCATACTTTTCACCATCCAACGCTAATAAGCTGAAACAGATTTCATAGAAAAAATAGATTGTCCAGTGTGATCTTTATTTTTAAACTAGTACTACAGTATATAGACTGTCTATATACTGTAGTACTAGTTTAAGAAAATGATTAATTAACAATGCATTAATATGTCACTACCTGTCATTTGTTACAGACACCAACCACCGATGCTGAACACCAAATGCCAAACACCATCCGCTAAAAAGTTAGAGACTATAACAATGTCACCACTTCTGGTGGTGACATAATAAACCATGGTCCTATATAGTGGGCAAGGTTGGTCGAGATCGGAAACTGGGGATTTTTTACACACATGAGAATCCACTTAGTCTATCATCAATATCTGATGCGAAAGTTGTCATTTTTTAGCTTTATCTCCCTTGGCAAATTATATTATTTGTCTAATCATCTTCACTCAAAGGATAGGTATCGATATGGTGAACAATGTTTTTCTCTTAAACCAATTATTGAAAACATTCTGCAAAAATACGATCCTTTATGTAATGTTGACTGATTGACAACTGAAATATTTTATATAACTGTTTTTGTTAAATTTTTTTGTTTTTTAGTACAATTGTTTTGCTGGTCCCAGTGGATTTTAGATTAGTTAAGTTTCACAGCAAAAAACAGTTACCTGCCAACTCTTACCTCAATGGAATTATTACTATAATGATTGCCTTCTCATGAACATGCCATCCAAACAGGTAGGCCCCCAATGCACAGAGAGTCAGACATTTCACAAACCCCCGTGGTCCTTTTAAGTACATCCACTGGTGAACTAGGCCTGGCTAGAAATAAAGCATAACACATTTTAGAAAATAAATGTGGCTAAACCAATTAACCAGGAGAGTCACGATGTTGTGAAAGTTTTTTATCCCTTTGAAAGAGTGCAACTTTCACTTTCTGAATGCAACTTTTACATTTTTTGCAACATTTTATCACTGCAAATCTTCTTAAAAATTGAATCTTTCCCCGAGTCAACATAATGTATCATAACCTTTCATAAGACAACATATCGTACAATGTTACTAGTTGTTATTAATATAATAATTTTGAAATAAAAACTCATTACATCATTATTTTATTCACGGGGACTATCCAGGCCCGCTGACATCGCTCATGTTAGAAGCGGGGCCTTGAGAGATGTGATGAAATTGTAATATGAAGTTTTCTATGAAACTTTAGTATTTGAAACTCAGTACAACTTTATTTTATAGTACAATGGCTATTCCAATTGCATGGCAACAACGTTCTTCAACTATAACTATATTTTATCATATCTCAAGGCCATGCTTCTAACATGAGGTCATTGCTTACGATGTCACGTAAACTTGCTCGCGATTTACGGGCCTGGAAAGTCACAGTGATATTGCTAACATTTCTAAACAATTTCTTCCTCTATTCCTCATTTATACTGAATAATGATATTGAGGCAACCAAACATACATTTACACTGAATAATGATATTAAGGCAACCAAGCATACATTTACACTGAATAATGATATTGAGGCAACCAAATATACATTTACACTGAATAATGATATTGAGGCAACCAAATATACATTTACACTGAATAATGATATTGAGGCAACCAAACATACATTTACACTGAATAATGATATTGAGGCAACCAAATATACATTTACACTGAATAATGATATTGAGGCAACCAAACATACATTTACACTGAATAATGATATTGAGGCAACCAAACATACATTTACACTGAATAATGATATTGAGGCAACCAAACATACATTTACACTGAATAATGATATTGAGGCAACCAAACATACATTTACACTGAATAATGATATTGAGGCAACCAAATATACATTTACACTGAATAATGATATTGAGGCAACCAAACATACATTTACACTGAATAATGATATTGAGGCAACCAAACATACATTTACACTGAATTATGATATTGAGGCAACCAAACATACATTTACACTGAATAATGATATTGAGGCAACCAAACATACATTTACACTGAATAATGATATTGAGGCAACCAAACATACATTTACACTGAATAATGATATTGAGGCAACCAAACATACATTTACACTGAATAATGATATTGAGGCAACCAAACATACATTTACACTGAATTATGATATTGAGGCAACCAAACATACATTTACACTGAATAATGATATTGAGGCAACCAAACATACATTTACACTGAATAATGATATTGAGGCAACCAAACATACATTTACACTGAATTATGATATTGAGGCAACCAAATATACATTTACACTGAATTACAACAATTAACCAAATATACTCACCAATATTGCTACAACTGTACAAATTAAAGTCACCACTGGGGGAATAGATGGCAGCACTGTATGACTGTATTCCTGAACCAGACCTCCTGTCATAGAAGCACCTTGTAATTCATCTTTTGATATCTTTCCCATCTTAGCACCTATTGACTCGAATAAAGCACAAACAAATGAAGCAAGCTTATTGTTTGAGAGTGCAGAAAAACTGTCAAATCTGAATGCCACTGCCATTTCAAGGTATATAGTGGTTTATTAATTGGACCATAATATCACAGTGAGAGATGTTCGCCAAGAAAGGTGTTTCAGTTTACAGGCTCAACTGTTATTTAATGTAATTTTAATTTTGAGGATTATTATTCATCTTGTGTTAATAATATTTAGGCATGACAGAGCCCTCTTTTGGAATATCAACTTACCTATAATTGCTAATGTTTTATCAGCCATGTTATACAGTGCCCAGACATTGGGTGCCCAGTAGGCATGGCAGAGCCCTCTTTTGAATGGAAACAATCGACTCAAAACTTGGCCAATCTGTCCCTTTAAATCAAGAACAGAATAACATACAAGTATATTGACTGGGATGCCCTTAGAAGTTGTGTCAAATAAGATGTAGTCTTGAATCTCAATTCTCCTTTTCCATGCCTTTGTCAAATGAATTGGATAGCTTGCTAAATAAAAGCCTATTTACATTTCATTTTAAGTTTTATTCCTCAATTACAAGTGATCTACAATTTATGAAAAACTTTACGAACAGGCCTTAGTAGGCCAAAAAAAGATTTTCAGTTGCAAATTTTGTGAAGTGAGTCATGTATGACAGCACTAGGCCTTGTGATCTTATCATTATCAAAATAAAATACAAGTTCAATTTAAATATTAAAATTGGAGATACAATGTTGCTTATGATATTTTGTCAGTGTGTAATTAAAGCAAATAGTTATTAGGATTTATCAAGCAAAAATCTAAAACTTAATATCTTGTTCATTAAAATGAGATAGCATAAAGGTAACATAAGAAGAAATACAAACAATAAAAATAATAAAAAAACCATTTAATATCAGGAATACTTACTGCAGCTATAAATGGTCCAAATGATACACCAAACACCATGACAACAATAAATCCAAGATGGATGACTCTTTGAAGTGAAAAACTCTTCCATGCGACACCGCCATCTTGAAATAAAAAATTTATTCTTATCCTTGAGTGTTCAATTACAATTATCAGCTCCTCCTTTGCTCAATAATGCATCTGTGTAATAAAAAAGGGGGATATCTCCTAAACTTCATAGTTGACCTCATAATGTACACTTCAGCGTACATATTGCTTGTTTTTTCAATGATCATCTGTAAGTAGTGTCACCGATTTACACATATGTAATGATTAATAAGAAAAATGTTAAACATACAAGTATTTCTTACACCTATATTTTCCTTTCTGTAAAATAACTAGGTATTACATTGATCATCTACATCAGAAACTAAAATATTATTTGACACATGTTTCTTTCATAGCAAGACTGATCTATAAATGTACTAGTATTTCGACCAATCAACAATTATGATGAGACCAGTCATCTGAGGCTCATGAAAAATAAATTCTCATATTCATGGAGCTATTTCCATAAAGTATGACAGGAGCATTTCTCTTTTAAACTCCCATGTCACAAATGAAAATTTAATTATCTAATATGCAAAAACTGGAGTTATTGTGAATAAAACATAGTTATAGCGTGACTCCAAGCAATGACCAAATGCTAAACAACCTGTCATTTGTTACAGATGCCAACCCCAAAACACCAACCACCAAGTGCCATCCACAAAACACTGGAGACTATAACAAACCAGATACAGGCATGAAAGATCTAAATACTAAATTAAATTCTAAATCCAATCCCTGTGTGGAGGAGGGGGGGGGTAGCGTAATGACCTCACCTTTCTTGCTGTTAAAGCAGTAATGTCTGAGCAGGTAGACAAAATATGCAGGAGCAATGTATAAGTAGATATGCTTCAAGTTCAATAGGGTAGTAAACCATAAAGCCGCCTCCATGTGACGTCCCTGCAAATCAAATACAATTTAAAAATGAAACAGCCTTGTGAACAGTCTTTTAAGAAAAAGTTAAAAATGGATAAGCAGTACCAGTATTCTATAAAACTGACTTTTGCACTTTTGCAGATAACAAAACATTTTATCGCCCATCCACAAATGACACCCAAAAATGTTACTATTTGTTAAATTAAGAATTGTGATTTACCTTATAAGAAATATACACCAACCTGATAAATCCTAACAATGGAGAGCAGCATAACACCAAACAAGAAACCATTGTACTGGAAATGTATGTCTGCGGATAGTGTTAAGGAGAATAAATTGTAGAAGCATATAGAATTTCAGTTTTATGACCACATGTTTAATTCAATTCAATTTGTTGAAAGTGGTAATATGTAACTGTCAAAATTAAAATCTTCATCAAAAACATCATTTTTTGCAGGCACTGTGAAATTTGATGTGAAACAACCCCTTAATACACACAATTACACACGAGGAAATGAATAATAATTAAATAATATATAAAGGTGATTTTATGAAGAGTACTCTGCGAAACCTTGTTAAATAACTTTTGCTTGAGGCAAAAGACAGACTTGTAAATACCAATATACCAATCCTGTTTATACCAGCCACCAGAAATGAGATTGACTTTTACTGGTAATTTTCTTACAATTTGTTTACAAACAGTGTTCACTGCAAAAATAAATAAATCTAGCAAACAAATCATTGTTTTCTTGGTTTTGTACATGCTTGGTATTTGTGAAGGATACGGTCAACCAGAATGAGTCCAAAGTTACCAAGCAGTAGGATGGCTAGAATCAGACTTGACCCGTTGGAAGGAGAATCTTTATCTGTTTTCTTCCCGGAATAGCAGTCACAGAACCTATAATGAAAGACGAAAAGATGAAGAAAGACATTTTAGACAGTCTCATTTTCTTACTCACCCAACTTCAATTTAACCAGTTTTCACCTCATTCAATATTTATTTTTCCAAAAAGTCAATGTTTTTTATTCAGCAGTAATTTTTTACAAATAATATATCTAATAATATATACCTAGGTATAGAGCGTTTTACGTGTTTTACTAAAATTCAATGCACTGTGGAATTCATATAGTGGTGCATTCTGTATATACAATTAATACTGGTGCATTTTTTATAAAGGTTATTTAATGGGAGGGATGGAATATGAATTTTATTATATAGAATATAATATACTGTATAAGTGGTAATTTTGCCTAATCATTTAATTTTCCTATTTCCTAATTTTTTCCAGGTTCGGCAAATTAAATGTCGGAAATATTGTCTTTATAATGTTATCCAATGGGAGGTTTCTTGTCATTAGGAAAATTAAAATTAGGAAAATGATGAAATTTGACCATTCGGAAAATTAACCACTCGGATTAAATACCACTTATACAGTAATTGGTTCTATATTGCCATAAATATTCAATATGCCTTAATTTATCAAATTACCAAATATTTCACATGAAAAATATGCTCACCCTTTTACTGCAAAGACATACACAAGGTCTGTCACGATGACTGAGAGACGTTGGAACAGTATGGTGTTAAATGACGCATACTTTAAGTTCCTCAGCACCAGCATATTGGGGTCGAAAAATCGTGCAAACTGAGACAGGAAAAACTCAAACCAAGCAAACATAGGAGGATAGTCTAAGGTCCATTCCGATGTTTTCTGCAAAGCAACATTCAAAATCATATAATGTAAATCTGATTTTGCACTTGAAGGGGAGTCAAAACTATGCAAAGTTATGAGTCTTGCCTTTGTACTCTTCCCCCTCCCTCTTATTCATCCCCCAAAGGGAGAGAAGTAGATGGGGGGGGGGTCCAGAGTCTAATTGCAAGACTAATGCAAAATATAATCTTTCAAAAGAATTTAAATTGATTTCATGGTAAGCATACTTCTCAATTTTAAAGCGAACATCAGTTTTAAATTAAAATATTGACTGAATAGTGCAACTTGTATCAGCATGATGGTTGACAGTAGCTAAGTACCTGTTGGACAGTTTTATATCCAACCTGTTGAGATTTTGAATAGTAATGATTCATACCTCAAAGTACCATTTTTCCAAAGGTAGACTGTTTGTAACAGCAAGCCAGTTGCGATGAACTTCAAAATCTGTTGAGCGACTGAAAAATAAATCTTGGGGAAAATTAAAGTTGTACTAAAAGATGTATACTGTACCTGAAAAATGAAAAAATCATACTTAAAATATAAAAATAAGCAAACAAAAATCAAAAAGGAAAGAAAACCGTATTGTAACGGAATTTTAAAAATGAAAATTTTTGATTTTTGATAAAGTGCTGTATTTTTGTACATTAGGTAATTATTACACCTGGAAAGTAATTTCCCATTGAGATTATTAAGATTTATAAATGTAGTATCATTTGCAGCACTTAGGTTGAACTTACAGAGGTGAAATAGTTCGCATGTTTTATTTATTTGATCACGATTTTGTTTATGTTGATCGGGCAGTCTTATCTGGCAGTCTAATTTGTAGTTGATCGGTAGTCTCATCATCATCAGATACTCAATTCTGTCAGATTTGACAATTTTATTGAGGGTGGCAAGATAAAAAGATTTGTGTATGTACAATTTAAAAGCAGGTTAAAAGCAGTTTAAAAACAGAGTGGGATCTTAGTTGGTCCTCTTCCTCAGGGCATCACGGTAGGCCTCGATGATGGGTAGGCTTGTGACATCTCTGGGAAGGGCGTTCCAGTCCACAATTGTGCGGGGGAAGAAGGAGTATTTCAGGGAGTCTTTTCTGCAACTGTATAGCTGGTATGAATCTTGGTGGGCAGACCTGGTCAATCTAGTGGGTGGAGTAAGGTAGGTGGTGTGGCGAATGGCTACTAGGGCGTTGATGATCTTGTATAACATCACTAGTCGTTGGTGATGCCTTCTATCCTGGAGTGACTGCCATTGTAGCTGGTGAAGTATGGCAGTCATAGATCCAGGGTCACGACTGTAGTTGCCAGTGACATATCGAGCAGCACGATGCTGGACCATCTCAAGGGAGTGTATCTGTGTCTGTGTGTGAGGGTCCCATACGCAAGCACCATATTCCAATTTAGGCCTGACTATGGTGTAGTATGCCAAGGTCTTGATTCTTGTGGATGCTTTCCAGAGATGACGTTGGAGCATCCCAAGTGATTGGTGTGCCTTCTTCACTGAGCTCTGGACATGGATGTTTCACTTCAGGTCTTCTTGAATGGTAACACCCAGGTACTTGGCAGATGGTACATGCTCAAGTGGGTGATGGTGCATTTGGTAGGGAAATCGTATGGGGTCTCGCCTCTGGGTGACGCTCAGGACATTACACTTGTCTGGATGGAATTTCATGAGCCAATCCTCTTCCCACCTCAGAGCAGCATCAAGGTCTTGTTGCAGGAGCTGGCAGTCTTCAGGTTTGCTGATTTCTCTGTAGATGATGGAATCGTCAGCGAAGAGGCGCAACTTGCTGTGCTGTAGGTACTCTGGGAGGTCGTTGATGTAGATCAGGAATAGGATCGGCCCAAGGACTGTGCCCTGAGGGACTCCGGAGGTAACAGGAGCACTTTCTGAGTGTTTACCCTCTAGGACAACCCTCTGAGTCCTGTCCTTTAGAAAGCCTTCTATCCATCTTAGGGTGTTTCCACGTATACCATACCTGTCCAGTTTGTGGAGAAGATGTCTGTGAGAGACTTTGTCAAAGGCTTTGGCAAAGTCCATAACCACAACGTCTGTCTGGATCCTCTTGTTGTCGTTTGAGGCCAGATCATGGAAGAATTCCACCAGTTGGGTTTCACACGACCTCTTCCCCCGAAATCCGTGTTGTAAGTCATACAGGATGTTGTTGTCTTCAAGGAATTGCATGATGGTACTTGCGATCACATGTTCCATGACTTTACAGCTGATGCAGGTCAAGGAGATGGGGCGATAATTAGATGGTTTATATCGCTCTCCTTTCTTGAACACAGGAGTGATGTTAGCTAGTCTCCAGTCACTGGGGACTACGCCTGTGTCAAGAGATGACTGCATCACACGGGTGAGGGCTGGTGCAATCTCAACTGCAAGGTCTTTCAAGACACGGGCTGGTATGGAGTCTGGCCCACATGCCTTGTTAGGGTTGAGTTGTTGTAGTTGCTTCATCAAGCCCTTGCAGGAGATGGTGATGGGGGGCATCTGTGGGTTTTGGTTGGTTTCACTCACAGGTATGGTGTTGCCTGGATCAACAGAAAAGACACTCTGGAATTGGTCATTGAGGATGTTCGCCTTTGTTGTGTCATCTGTGACAAGTTTCCCATTGATCTTCAGGGGAGCAACACTGTCACCGCTCTTCCGTAAGCTCTTTAAGTACGAGAAGAAGCGTTTGGGCTTTGGTGGTCTAGCACCAGGTTCAGTGTTGCTCTGGGAAGGCACAGATATTACATCTTCAATGTAGTCCCAGTAGGCTTTCCTGGTCTCTTTCTGGACAAGAGCTCTCAAGGCCTTGAAGTGCTTCAGATGGGTAGGTGACTGGGTTCGGTTGTAGTACGCCCGGTCTCGCTTCTTCATCAGCCTTTGCAGGTCACGTCTAATCCAGGGTGATGTTTCTCTAGCCCTGAGCGTCTTGTGTGGTATGTGACGCTTGATGGCTGAGCAGATGCCGTCTCTGAACTTAGACCAGATGGTGTTGGTATCAGTGTCAGGTGGGAGAGCACTGATTTCATCAGAGAGTGTAGTAGCATCTGCTTTCAGGGCATCCCAGTTGGCAGAGTTGAATTTGAGTATCTTCTTTGGAGGTGCTTTCTTCCTTGCTGGTACTAGGTTCACCTCTACAAAGAGGACATCATGGTCACTATCACCACACGGTGGGGCAGTTTGGACTCTATTGACAAGGTCTGGAGTGTCAGTGAGGAATAGGTCCAAGGTGTTTCGGCCCCTTGTGGGAATCTCTACCATTTGAGAGAGGTTGTGATCTTGAATGATGTCAGCAAAGCGTAGATGGAAATCACGATGCGGACATCCTAGTGGGATTTCTGGGCCACTGTCCCATGTGAAAGCAGGTAGGTTGAAGTCCCCGCTAAGCCACACATGACCATTGCGTTTGTTGGCGTTTGCAACGGCTTGGAGGGATGAGTCGAGGGCGTCAAGGCTTGGGGCATCGTTTGTGCGTGGTCTGTAGATGGTGGAGAGATACAGCTTCTTGGCACCGACGAGGTTGATTGTGGCCCACACAATTTCCTTGTAGTCTGGTGGCTCGAGCTCAGGTGCTCGTGAGCTCAAGAGTTCCTTAGTGATGGCAATTAAGGAACCACCATAAAATTTACCATCTGGGGCAGGAGTGTTACGATCCCCACGGTAAACTGACCACTCGGACTCATCGAAATATTCACTAGATGAGATGGTGGTCTAGCCAGGTTTCTGTACCAAAGATGATGTCCGGCTTAAGTGAGTTGATGACAGAATCTAGTTCAGGTTTTTTGTTCTTCAGGGAACGAAAGTTGATATGGATGCATCGGATCGGCTTTGATGGACACTTGTTCCGACGTTGGCGCACACGTGGGGCAACAGGTGACGATGTTGCCTTCGGGCTGCCAATGCTGCTCAAGGTGGTGTTAGCATCGGATGTGTTGGCATCGGAAAAAGCCGAGAAGCTATTGGAGACTTCGACAGGTGTTGGATCGAAGAGTGTTGTTGAGAAGTTTGGTAATCCGCACTGTGTGCATATCCAAACAGCACTGCTGTGTGAGAGTGTCTCATAGATGGTGCTGGACATTCCCTGGCATGAGTGGTGGAACCAGGTTTCACAACTTTCACAAAACACACCTTTGTGATCCCATGTTACAGGGAAGGAACATGATCCACATTCCCAGTTGGAATCAGGACCTGGATTCAGTTCAATGTCTGAGGCTTGGGCTATTATCAGGGCAAAGTAGAGGAGACAACATCTTGAATTTAAGGGTCTAGGTGACATCTTGGGGTTGAAATGTCTATTAACTGAGTAACAAACTGTAGTCCATGGCTGTAACGGGCGGGAAGTGGTGGTTGTGGTACTTACAGTGTTGTGATCATGAGCGAGAAACAAGATGGCGGCTACCACGAAAATCATCAACATGGTTGAAAGGCAGAATGGATGGTATTTCTTCACTCACATACCTCGTTGTTGACATCAGCGGGTTCTCACGTCACTCGTGGATACTGTTGGTTGACGAGATCCCAAAGAACAAGGTAGAAATAGGAGAAAAAGAAGAAAAATTTTGGAAGAAAATTTCGAAATTGCGCCACCGGAAGTTGACAAGAAACTACGTCTAACATGGCAGCTTTATTATTTTACTTCCTGCTTTTGATTCGATTGAATCGAAGTGAAATTAGACTAGATAGTGATTAATTACTGTTATATTTCTTGAGTCAATATTATAATCTTGCTGTATGATCAATATTGAAGCGAAACACGGCGTAAATAAGCTGTAATTCACAGTTGAAATCTTGTACGAAAATTAATGACGTCATCGGGCCTATATAAGTATCTCGCTGTTGAAGGCTCGTCAGTGCGATGCCAGATGTTGTCGAGGAAGGACCTTAGAGCGGAATTTCGGGAAACAGCTTAAATCTTCTAAGTTTTATAGAACTTAGTCGATTTTGTGGAGTTGAAGCTATACGTTTGCAGTATACACATGAAGATAGAAGCTGTACCTTAGTAGAATACATCTGATGAGCCAAGCTATACGTTTGCAGTATACAAGGGCAGATTGAGGAAACTAAGTGTGCGAAACTTAGTTTATTTTGGAGATTGGAATTTTGGGAAAACTTTGATGCAACTAAGTGTGTGAGACTTAGTTTATTTATCGCACTGGAAGTAAGGGAGATCTACAAGACTGGACAAAACTTCAACAGGGTGAAGCTATCCCCAGCGCAAAGCATTAGACGTATTGTCCAGCCTTCATAGACTGAGAGGAAATGCTGACATAACTTGTGTTTGAAAAACTTCAGCTATTTTTATCATCAAGGAACTTAGACGATTTACAACATTATTGAACTTAGTCAATATTTGGTGAAACATTATTTTGGACTTTGTTGTTTTTGGAGAAAGAAATATTTAACTTAGAATATTTCAACATTAGTATAACTTAGCATGAAATTAACTTAGTCAATATTTGGTGAAACATTATTTTGGACTT